CTCCATTCCTCAAGTGCTGCTCTATTCTAACCAGCAGACGGATAGAAAGTGGTTCTTCGTCGTTGCTTTGTAAGCCTCAATGCGCCCATCTTCCATGGGCAAATAGCTTTTTACATTTGTTAGGAAATTAACCTCGAAACTAGGAATTTGGGTGACAAAAAGTTGGGATTATTCATCTGAAATGCTCATACTGTAAAGGAAGTTAGAGTATACCAATTTGCTGGATTCAACCCTTCGGATAGCAGATTTGGGCATCTGAAGGTCTGTACGATTTCCAGGTAACATTTGCAGTCGAGCCTCAAATCACCTTCTGTTCCTTTACGCTAAACCCAATCCATATTTCTCAATTTAATGGGCGTGTATTTTTTGATTTCAGGTAGTCACGTAAAAGTGTTGGGTCTTTTTCGATATCATTTACAGGACAATGGCTAGGTTTCTTCCTCATTAATATACAGTTGAAAAATATCAATACATCTTTCTTAGGAGTCTTGGGTTGTGTGTATTTCTTTCAATGGTCTACAACCGTTATCAAAGGGTTGGGCAAACACCTTCAGATCATCTCGAATTTACCACCCGGACGTCCAGATCAGGCTCCTCCTGCTGCGATGAACTCACTTCAGTTCGGTTGCTTATCGAGTCAGTGTCAGGTGTTCTTGCTCAGGTAAGTCACAGGGCTTCTGATTTTCTATTCCTGGCACCTTATCACTCTGGGGATTGTTGTTGCCCGTTAAGTGGACTTTTGCGACTTAAATCTTCACTCTTGTAAATTTGACTTCGTCCTTTTGTTTAAGAAGTGATAGCGAAGTTGAATGGTTTCCATAACGTGATCTTTAATGAATTCCGATTCCTGCTTTTAGCATGAGTTTCCTACTTATTTGGGATTTTAGCAAAGGTGGTTGGGGTTCATTGTGCATACTTGACCATGTGAGCGGCTGTAGAATCTTTAGCAGAATCGGGATAGCCTTTTAATCATTGCCCATGGTTGACTATGTAACCTGAGGTTGTGTGCATTGAGGTGTGTCGGCAACGTTGCCTTCCTGTTTCGAATTTCTATGGTTATGCCCTTTTGATGGGAAAGTTTTCTATAGTTTGAGTGTTTCAGGCCAGATTGATCCTGTCATTTCTCCGCGAGCAATGGTGCCAGCGGTCCATCAGTATCGCCGGACATGACTTTTTTCTCATTCCTTTCGGCTACCATTATGCCTGCGTGAGTACACATGTATGAAGTCAACCTATTCGGCGTAACTCAAGCCAGACTAGCCAGCTAGCGTGTTAGCTGAGCTGTGCATGTATGCATGCACAAACGCAAATGTGACGGCATTACAGGCAGCATCTTGATCAGGGCTAAGATTCACAAAAAGGGCATTTTCCATCTCTAACGTTCTCACTGTGAGACGTACACCCTCTTATGTGTCCATACAAACACGCATGTATGCTGTCATTTTTAACCTTCACTGAGAGGCAAGCATTTTCGACTGATTTAGTGCTTCGATGTGCGCAAGGTTGCGTTATAAGGACCACGTTTGAAGCTGATTTAAGTGAGTAGTCTGGATTTTCATTTTCATTTCCATTATTCAGCATTGCTCAGTGGCAATCCTTGCATATGTTGGTTTAATTGTGCTGGATGATGTTGTGGAAAGAACCACTAGTCTATCAATCAAATTATATATGCAAAGTTAAATGTGGTCCCATTTTCTCGTAGCAATGGAAAATGTGATTTTTTTTCTATGAAGGCTTCTTTGGTGTTCAGATGCGCACGACACTAGATCTGCTGGAGCGGCGTCTCAACCAGTTGGGCTTGGAGTCGTGTCGATTCCCTGCTAAGGGCGTCTTCTTTGGAAACTAGGCGGTCTCCTCCGGTATCATCTCTGTCTCCGGCCCTCGAAGAGGTGCACTGCATTTATCGCATCTGCTGCCACTGTAGTTTCACCTCATCTTTCATCTGTCGCTCTCAGGTTTCCGCATCTCTTCTATGTGATCATCTCTCTACATTGTTTTTTTCCTCATTACAAACTAATGCCTACTGAAATGATTTGGTATGTCCTGTGCTCGTCCGTGATTTACCCGCGATTTTTAAGCAAAAGTATTATTTTCAAGTCTACTTTTTTTAAATATAAGGCGAGAATATCGATTTTTTTTGGTAATTCCATATCGACGGGATGATAGCTCTCCTTTGTTTGGGAACTTACGAAATCTCAAAAGTGTGGGATCGATGATCTGGTGATCAAACTAAGGAACATGACAATTAGATCATTTGAGATCCTTCCGTGGATGTCTGGGATTTTCACGCCGAAGATAAGTGTACACTGGAATTCGTTCGTTTGGTGGCCATTGAATTTGACCAAATCCTTCTCTTGGAAGATACTTGTGGTGCTGGACTGGATATTCACGATTTTCAAACCAGATAAGGCGAGATGGTGGACTTACCGAAGGCGAATGCGGGTTACCGAAACCAGCAGGGAGTCGCTTTATTGTGCTAGCATGACTTAGTTTTAGCTTTTCTCCTTTTCGAAATAGCAAACAATGAAACAAATATTTCCGCAACACCTGAACTTCTCTGCTTGAAAAGTTGACTGGAAAATTGAAAGTTAAATTAGGCAGAAAAGCAAGTCCTAATAAAATGGAAGTTTCGGGCATAGGGAAATTTGATTCGTGATACGCAGTGAGGTACGGTGTCTTTTCTCCCATACGTGCTGTCCCATAGAACTACTCAGCAATATCCTGATCGTGTGTCACCATTGCATGTTTTTAATCGAATGAAGAGTTGTAAATTTGTTGAGTGATGAAACGACACAGGGCTTCTCTTCCGACTGGTATTGCTGCTGAAAAATGGTCAAATCAGAGAGACATGGCTGAAATATGGCGTTTCCAATCCACATGGGAAAACAGAATCTTTACAGTGTGAGTTATCGATACTGCCAATCAACACTGGAATCTATGAAAACCCAAAGTGACTCCCTTATGTTTCTATAGTTACTTGGAAATAAAGTGGATTGAATGTGCTTCTATACTTTGAAACCAACACCTTCTATTCAACATATTTACTTCCTTTTAACATTGGTAACCTCTATCAACAATGTCTCGGATTACAAGGAAAGTGGGGAGCGAAATGGAGACGCCTCTCACAAGAAATATATTTCAGTGAACTAACTTAGGGCTCATGTGTTTGTGTCAATCTGACACAATCAATGCCACGTATGGCGTACAGTGCTACTAGTCTTTTTTTCTGAGCCAAGCAAAGCCATTGAGACTTGACTGAAGAAAGCACTCTTATAAGCTACTTTGCCACGCAGATTATATTTTTCTGTCAGCAATATGGAAATGACCGCGCACTAACCTGTCGAATAGGCTGGCTGCTGAAATCATATACACTATGCAACGGTGTCTTATAACCTGTAAGCAGTGGTTCAATGAGTTGTTTGAGGAGAATCTAACGCTACAATAGCCTCATACCACCCTGAATGAGGATGTTTTAGAATTGCTAGTCTTTTTTTCAGTTATGTCCATTCCATCGCCTAATCTTTCTGCAAAACTAGAATAAACCCCATTATGTCGCCGCCACTTTTTGGGAAAAGCATATATAACGGCAAAACGTTTGATCATTTTATTGGTGTTGTTACTACAAAGCAAATCTCAATGGTATAATCGCATTGAATAGCCCTCACTTCGTGTCATAGACCGTACGATATCTCATCTGCATTATTTTTAAACTAATTTAACAATTCTCCTTCGCTTCCGAATTAACAACATCGTTTTACCCAAAATCGTTAGGAAAATTGGAAAGGATAGCCGAAAAATCCACTGATTTTATCTTGCAGTATTCAGAGTCATCACTGTTCACGGTTTTTAATGTAACAGCTAGTTTCACTTGCTTCTCTATAAAAATGAGATGGTAATCTTTACGGTCAGGAAATTGTGTAGACACTACGGACATATACCTGAAATCATAAGCCAACCTTAGATTGAGACCCAGGGAACACCACAAACCACCAGACAACTTAAGCTAATATCCAGTTCATCAGGAATTTTCAATACCCGAATGAGTTGTACTGCCTTGTTCAACGCAGTCGTAAGATATGTATGTCTGAGATATTGTGTAATACTTTAATTGTTTGTTCAACTCGCGAATTTGGTAACAGAAATCCTATGGCCTCAACCATTGTAGATGCGCTGGACTGCCTGGCCTATGAGCCACACCAGTAGCCCTCAAGCCCTTCTCTACGTCGACTATGTATACTCTGTCCAAATACTGGCTTCTTTCGTCTCCAGGTAAGTCTCGGGGCGCCGCGGTTGTAGCCACAAAATTCCACCGCGCAAATTTGTTCAGACTGTGAAGGTTTTTATCAAAACAAAATTAGCACAAATTTTTGGAAGTAGCTCAATGATTCTATAGCTACCTTACCGCGGGGTTATACTACCAGAAATCCAATTCAAAAAATGATAGAAAGTGGATGAATCCCAGAAACGTTTAAAGGCTTCCCAAACTCACGCTTAAGATTCGATTTAAGCTATGTCCTAGTATGTTTAGCGGGAGTATTAGCTACACTCCCCTTTAGGCATTCTTCTTAGGACAAAGACAAAACAGATGGAATTCGGGTGCCATAGCACAGTCTATCGCACTATGTGCCCGGAGGTGCTATAATTTTGATGCAAACGACTACTATGACGATTGGAGACTTGAATGCGGACATGCTGGTAATCCCATCACTCAATAAATCGTTGCATACATTTTGCCCCGAAATACCGTCATTCGGGGCCAGAAGTGGGTGACTTAATCGATTACGCTTGAAAATGCAAGCGTCGACGACTGTGACCAATTCAAGCAAACTAGTGACAAAAACGGAATTAGGTCTCACCAACTCGGATAATTCAGTACGTCTCAAACACAAGTAGACAAAGAGTTAATTGTAAATTCTTTGGCTTTCAAAGTCATGCGCGACATTGGGTCCAACTAGTCTCAGTAAACCCATCACCACCAGCCCATTTCCAGTGCTAAAACACCGAATTCCAACATTTTCATCACAACACGTGACAGGCACCACACTGTCATTTCGAACGGATTATAATTTACACCCGTTTGGCGAATCCAATGCGGCTTAGTGTAAACGGTAAACGTTTTTGGAATAACATTGAGTGACTGAGTTTTAAAATTACACACGAGGCTGCTTCAGCACACCAGCAGCTAACGACACCATCCAAAACCGGAATATTTCCTCTTCTTGCGACATTGATAAATGTAGGGCCAAAAAGCATGATAAGTATTTGCCATTACTGAAGGCAAAAGTGACACCATCCCAAAATAAGTTCCTAAATAGTAATGGTTAAAACAGTCTCTTCAGGGATCCCGTTAGGCCTAATGAAAAGAAAATAATGCTCATAAATGAGTGGGATACCCCTGTAATTTGGCAACAAATTGTACTGTAGCATCCCAAGTTTTTATTGAAGTCGTAGATTGTACTTTCGTTCGGTGGCGTGGTCCTTAAGCCATCACGGCAGTCTCTCAGCTCTTCCGTATGTCAGAAATCCATTTTCCGGCACCACTGACTTCTTATAACTTCAGGGAAGACTCGGAGGATACACTTGTTTTACGGTCCAAATGATTATTTGCTAGTTTTTTTTGGGGTAGTAGGATGGTCAAGCCTCGCCTCAAAAGTTCAATATAATGACAACAATGTTTAGAAAAGGGTGGCGAAGTGAAAACGAGGTGTTTTGGTAGCAGGCACGAACACCCGAGTGCTGCTTTCAAGTTCTCAGGAGCCCTTTTTTGCGTTTTGGGTGGAATTATACGGAGGCAATCCAATTGCCTGAGATTTAAGTGATGGTAAAATTAGTAAGGGCTCTACTCAAATACCGTCCTAATTAATTACTCAATCTCATATTTACTTATATTAGCGCTTGCAAATTCACCAAACCTATTTTACTCTACTCCCTCTTAATTCTCACGTTTGCATCTTAGGACTGCTGACACCACGTCGCGACCCTGAAAGCCTTACTCCTGATCAAGTGCATATTTGGCACAAATTCAAGGAAGTTTACTGAAAAACTACATATTAGTGACCCTAATGCAGTCTCCTGCCCAACTTGCCAACGGCATGACCGACGACGGCAGACTTATTGGGCACTGGCAAATGAAGATGCTTTATCTCACTGCAATTTCTCTTACGAGTTTTTTGAATCCTAATGTACGGCTCACACAATTTGAATAACATTCTCGCTTAAGCAGCAACATCGCAAGTTAACTTTCTTCACAAGTGGTAACATAATTATCAATTAAAGCAGCGCACAGCACAATTACGAGAACTGTTAACGGGTGCCACGCTGGATGATTGGACCCCATCTCGGCTTCTGAGGCACATAAGGTCTTTGATTAGCTTCACGAATATCAGTAACTCCACCCTCAAACAGCATACTTTCTCTGCTCAACTTATGAGAACATTTCCCCCAGAAACACTTCCTTAATTATATTGTAGCGTCCCTAGACTCCCTGAATACAAAAGAAGACACAATACTAGGGCAGAATATATATATTCAGCACGGAGAAGGTGTCTGGGCTATTGGCATGGCCCAAAAGGCCAGCCCCAGCCAGCGAGGTACAAGGGGGCTACTTCAAAGTACAAAAGTGGCGCCTCACCAGAACCGAGGGATAAACCACTATCGGATTACAATATGTTTAATCCTGGTTGTATTTCAATAGACGAAATGCAATAACCTTATTGGTCGATGGAAAGTTAGCACGAAATCAAAGCACATCTTCCACGATCCTCTTTGCACAGTCATGCAGAAAAACTAAAAGTTCTACATGATCAAGTAATGGCAATGTGTGATTAGGTAGTATTTGAGATCTGGTCAACAGATTGATAGGTTCAACAGCTGACATACCAGTATGAGTTAAAATGAATTGTAATTTATCCCAATAATCGTGCTTCACGACGGCAACTTGTGTGGCTTATTTTACCAATTCAGACCAATACTAAACGGAAATTTTAAACCTCTCTCCCCCCCCCCCCCCTAAGCAGCATACTCTTGAATAATGCGGAGATTGTACACAATGAGAATGCTGACTTCGATTTGCCACAGGACTTGTACTATCGATATAGTTTGCCTAGGAAAATACATCTGACTGCCAATAAATCAGCTGTTTTAATCAATGGGATAAAAAGTGGGAGAAGATGAGGTGAATAATGAAATGTCTAGGCTCGACAATTTTACTTTACTTGATAGGGGAATAATCACCAAGATAATATGCGAAATAAATTGATTGATTTAACGCTCAGAAGTTGCGACGGAACAATGTTTATTAACTCAGAAACTCAACGACCTTGTTTTATTAATTTCCATCAAAAACCACTTTTACAAATACCTCTGTTGTTGTCGTTGCTCTTTTTGATTGGGCCACATGTGAGAGAATTGGTTCAATTAGTTCGTTTAGTAAATCGTGTCGTAGACACGTACCACATTCAACGCTCGTGCAATATTGTTGCTGCCGGATTGGCCCGGGCGTAATTTAGGTTTATACTCTTTCTACGATACCTTTAGTATTTTTCTGCTTTTTCAATTTCGAAATCAATGGCCGTTGTTAAAGTAATTGCCCCTGATTTGCGTGCATCGTTGGTACTTACAAACCTGTTCATATTTCAAAGAAATTTGCATAAAGTCTTTACCCCTTCATATTAGCTTTGAGGGTTCGGTGATAAAGGCATGACTGGAATGAAAACAACGCTTTATTATGTATTTTAGTCATACCTTCAAGGATGTCGGGTCGCAATGATTCACTTCTCTTTTTAATTTTCTGTTCACTGGGTGTTTTCTTCTCATACTTTTTCTATGGCATTCTTCAGGAAACAATGTAATACGATTTGTGTCTCATTGTGGTCCCTTACTTCTAGAACCCAAACTAACTATGGCGGTAAAAAAGGAGAATTTACTTTTATTAAACCGACCCTATTTATTCAATGCTTGATTAACGCTGCGTTCGCATATACTGGTATGTCAGTACCACTAGTTAATGTATCGCTATCACTATAAGTTCTCAACTTTAGACCTGAAACTAAGCCGAATATATCTCCTAAAGACTATGCACTCTGTGCCATGTGCTACATTGGAGCCATGTTCAGCAGCAATGCTAGTCTTCGCTATGTGAATTACCCGACTCAGGTGGTTGGCAAATCAATCAAACCTATTCCCGTAATGTTATTGAACGTCTTATGGGCGCGGAAGCGCTATCCTCTAAGGCGGTATCTATTTGTCGGCATGATCACCGTTGGTGTTATTCTCTTCATGTACAAGGGAGACGTGGCTTTCAAGTCAGGTGCTCGTGATGGTTTCGGACGGGGTCATCTTCTTCTAGTAAGATCTTCCATCGCTTGTGATTAGGAAGTTGTGTTCTAATGATTTCTTAAGTTTGCTTTTTTATTTATCGTCACATCATGGGACATAGCTCACTCTAATTGGACTATGCTACTTTTACTTGGTAGGCTAAATTATATATCGCTGCTTACTAGTTGTAAGTATTGCATTTGGCCATTTCTAACAAAGGTTTGGATTTTTTATTCATCTCTAATTTGGTGCTAGATAATCCGTATGAACCGGTTTAGAAAATCCCACAAATCATTTCATAGTTCACACTACTTTAGCTTCTGTCCCTGGGTCTGGATGGTCTTACCGGAGGGATGCAGGAAGATTTTCGTTCACGGGCACAGATTGGAACGTACAGTTTAATGCTAAATTTGAACGCATGGTCTCTGCTTTACTTGGCCATAGGTGCGTCTAGATATTTTGGGCGTAGCTTTGTTTTTTCATATTTTCATAAAACAACTTCTTGTTCGGTAGCTTCAATAGACCACGGCTATTGATGACATCTTTCATATGGCCTTCATGTACTTTTCTGTTTCCGCATTTCAATGCGCCTCTGTGGTCATACCAAATATTCATGGAGGAAGTGGATACAGAAAATCTTAAAGGAGGTCATGATGTCATACTTCCAACTTTGCCATTAACTTTTCCTGTTGAGCAGTAGCTGCATATGTTCAGCATTGCTTGGCCTATAGTGGCGTCTCACACACTGTGTCGGCGTATTGGAATTCTGGATGTCATATCTTTCCTTTCTCTTTTGACGATGAGATTCATGCATATCAAGCGCTTTTATTTAGGAATTCGTGTGATATAAAGCGAATTAACACTACAGCCCAAAAGTGAACTGTTTAGATGATCCTTCGTTTCTTCTTGCAGCCATCGTGTCAACGGGTGAGGTGGGTCCCTTTTTCATCTTCGTCGAAAAGTACCCACGTGCTATCTTTAATATCCTTCTTTTTGGTGTTGTGAGCGCTATTGGTCAGGTAAGCAGTCTGATGACATTTCTTTCTAAAATAGCATTGCATATCCTTATTATTTACCTCATTAAGCCAGATTTCCAAAAGGACCTGGGCTTTGAAGGCTAATAATTTCTTAGGCATGATGAAATGGTTATCATTACCAGAAAAAACTTCTGCATCACAATTTTCTTTGTTGATTTCATTGAAGAACTACACTGCTTATGTGTATGGCTATTAACCTAGCGTTAAGTAGTGGATATCGCGGGGATATTTCCCGAGGATTGATTACTAAGCAGGGTTGCTACCCCCCTTTTCTTCTTTGCAGATGTTCATCTACACGATGATAGTGGGTTTTGGCTCCTTGGTGTGCTCCATTGCGACGACCACGCGAAAGTTCTTCACAGTCCTTGCCTCGGTAGTACTATTCGGCCACACGCTCTCCATCCATCAGGTTGTGGGGGCGGGACTCGTTTTCATGGGCCTTCTGGCCGATCAGATACTCAGCAAACAACACCACGCCCTACGCCCCGCCTCACTGCCGCAGGCCCCCATCCACCTGACTCCTCCAGCTCGCTCGAGAACGAAACGCGAGTAGGCTGAACTCTGTCGCCTGAACGTTGACCATTGAATTTGTCGTAACATACGCAGGTGTTCTGATGAATCGCCGTTCACTATGCTTAAATAAGGTTTATGTAAATCCAAAAAAGAAACGTTTGCAATTTAATTTAGGGATATCTTGTGTTAATAGGATAACACCGACTTGGTCGTAAGTAAGCTTTTCCAAAAGCGAGGGGGGGCACTCACAAAGAGTGGCGGGAGGGTGGTAGTTCTAGGTCTATGCTACAATGTAAGTCTGCCGCGCAACAGCAGAGTGGTGACGTTTCTATACCATCATATTGCTACCGGTTCGGTGATGCGGACTATAAGCCGCGTAAAAAGACTTGAGGGCTAGTGGCGTGCCGGTAGCATGAGGCTGGTCTGTGAAAGCCCAAATGGTTTGGGAAATGCTCGGTTGTTCGGTACATCCATCGCTGTCATAATTGGTGGGGGACGGAGTGGTTGTTACTGTCGTCTTGTGGGTTCGCACTCAACGACATGACAAGTATGTTGCAGTGATTTGGCACTAACTGCGTGGGCACTTCAGTCCCGTGGATTGTGCTGTCGCTATGCTGCGTAGCCTTCGGATCATAGCATTGGACCCCCTGCTCTTTTGTGCGCTAGTAATGCGTTTTTCCAAAGTACTCTAGCTTGGAATTACTTCAGGGAAGGCTCAGGGCGCTACAATATCTCTGTTAATATTGGCACGATCAGAAAGGTATCAAATAACGCCCCTCGGTTTTAATATGGGATGGGGTGGTATGTGGTGGCTTGGTCTGCTGGCCTTCATAAGTTCTTTTGTCCGCTGTTCGTGCCTTAGTTTTGAAGGCTTCCGGTTTTCTGTGCATTAATAATAAACCTTCTGTTACATCTGTTAAGCCTTTTCTACCAGTTTTCTACGGCTATTTTGGGATAAAATTGGAGGAGGGTACTACGAGATGATACAAGGGGACGAAATAAACCGGAGCTAATTAATCCTTAAAATAAATGATGAAGGGAGTCTTAAATTTGTCCGGCTACCTTTAGGCTCACATTTATAGTAGTTTTGTTCTACTTTCAAGTTTTGTGGAGAGTTTGTTTCAGTGCGGTCACTCATTGTAAATTATGGCTAATAAACTGTATTGAACGCACTGTAATACTTTGGTTGTTTGCTCAGCTCTCGGTTTTAGTAGAGCCACTTAGGTACTCCAAAAGTGTATCTTACTCGGATGAGCTGACCTCTGGGCCGCGTTAGTAGCCTCAGGTCCTACTGTATGCTGAATATGTATGGATATTCTGCCCAATTACTCTGCTATCTTCCGCAACCTTTTCTCTGCACTGGTGGCAGCGAAAACTGAACCTGATCTTAAAGGGCATCTATCCTGGTTCCTACTGCTTGGTAGTACGTCTCAACGTAGCGGAAGAACTGCAGATGGGAGAATCGGTGGTGACCCGGAACACAAAGGCTGAAAATGATGTCCACCTTCGGCACATGTCACACTTTCGTGGTCTACAGGAAAGCTATTATCATCTAAAGCGATACTTACCATGATCTACCTGAAAAAGTTGTTACGGAGCTGTGTACCATACCTGCATGCAGATGTACACAATGTGAATAAGCGGTATCCCTTGCAATCTTCTACTAGTTGGATAGAATCCAGATCGATTCTGCTGGGCAGTACTGAAGTGAGAACAACATGGCTAGGTGAACTAGTTGCGAAACCCCACCCCTTATAGAACTAGTTTAAAACACTCTTCTTTGTTATGTGACTCTGCTTTTAGGCTAGTGTTCCCCCTGCTAGCTATAAACACACGTGATGATCAGCACATTCCCCCCTTTCCAAGCTAAATTCCCATACAGGACGAAACCCCAGATCCAGTGGAATTGGGAAGAGGTTGTGGGCAGATACCTCCTCAGTTTCATGGAAATTCGATGACTGGCATGATTGGCTCGTGGATGTCTCCTTTTAGCACCAATTACGATGGGATGGCTGACGCTAGATGTTGATGAGGGGGAGCACCGAGGGTGAAGCTCAAAATGGGATAGGAGCTATGTTATACGTGGTTTTTTTGACTTTGTTTCGGTTTAGATAAATGGACCACCACTTCATCCGGTGGACTGCATACTATATGTATACGTTCCACTGGGTGTTGTATCCCTTATTCTAGGAAAGTCTTGAGGCGCTGCAATATAAGGTCGATGTTTCAATGTTAGTTGAACTCGTGCGTAACAGATGTTGCCTTTTTTTGCTTCATGTGGTAATAGCATAACAATTTTTGAGTATCTTTGCAAGTAGCATCGTAGAGCCCTTGTCTTGTTAGACAATAAGCTGTTTGTATACATTAAGGTTATGCGCGAGTTTTGTAGTTGCCTTACTGCCCAATAGTAACGTTACCATCTTCTCGGGTCTTTATTGTCCCCGAATGGCGTCACAAACCGTTCAGTCTTATTTGGCAGAGGTATGTTAGTAAAAAGTCTTTGATGAAACAGGTTCACCGTCTTCTCCTCAACTCACAAGGGAAGGAGCTTGCAGTATTCTTTACTTACCATCGTTATTTTCTTAGTCTTATTTACAGTGCACAGACAAGCATGTATTAAGCACAAAACTAGCGATAGCAGAGCCAGAAACCGTGGTTGGAAATATTTTGCAGCCACCATGGGATGAAATATTTGCGGCTCATCTCAGGTTTGTCATCTAAATTTATCGCTTACGAGAGATGTTTGTGGGCTATTGATTTGAACAACCACGAGGAAGCCTGTGCCTGCCAACTAGTATTAGTAAAATATCCTTTTAGTAAACTAGATTTTTTGTGCTTGCATATGTTTTGTCGCTTGGGTTTTCTTTAATATGAAACCACAGCTCTGACCAAGGTCTTCTCAGAAGCTAAGGAAGAAAATTGGATGCTTCCCGTGGTAGTTGCTGCAGCTGTGGATCTCCGAAGGTTTGCCCATGCTCTGGACGTTTTGCGCAAAAAGAAGGTGGGTGATTCAGACTCTGCTTACGGAAGTCATCTCGAGCGCGTCGCTCAGGCTATAATGAAGCTATTTCAAATTTGTGCCGCCGATAGGTTAGTCTTGTATTTTATAACTATTATTCATAGAAACCTACTTCTGGCGATTTTATGTATCCATGTCTAATGTTGTCAATGGAAAGCTCATAGTTATTACGTTTGGTGCTACGTGTAGTGTTTAGGGCAGTTATTGCATCCTCACCCCGCAAAGAGAGTGGGTAGGATAAGGCCGAAACCATTATCCAGTATGTAAGCTATCTGAGTCCCTCCTACGTCATGCTAGAGATTATCTATACAGCGATTAGACTCACCAAATATACGGGCGGCTGTACAGGGTCGTTGCTATCTCCCAGGTGATACCTGATTGTCTTGATTGAGAACACGTCCAAGCAGTATGTGTGAGCATCTTTCTTCTATCCGCATGTTTGCGTTCGATTCAGAGCTGCTGTATGGTAAACACCACAATTATCATGTACAACAGCACACGGTTGTTCCCCAATTCTTATCCAACTTTATACTTGTTAAAAAATGTGCATAAACATGTTTGCGATTTGCACCTTTTGATTTTACATAGATTTATGGAAGTTTTTGGGTCCCTTAGCTGTATTGCTCTTTTCTTTAGTCTTACTGCAATTGAAGATTCAAAAAAACGCGGGATGATGGGTTTGGCAAACCAGCTTTTTAAAATATACTTTCAAGCATGTTGTTTGAGCAAAATTAATCCCCTCGTTTAGATAAATAAACTGAACCTTTGCAAACCAATTATTCGTGCCATTGAAAATGTGAATATTGATGCGCACTTTAGCATTGCGCAACGCGTCACTTACAATTACTACGTTGGTCGAAAGGCTATGTTTGATGGAGACCTTAAGATGGGTATATTCGATTTGAGGCATTTTATTCCTGTTTGTCACCTGTCTCTTAGCAGATATTTGTTTGACTTTTGCCTTTGAGCGCTGCTTGGCTTCCAGTAAAGCAAACAAACGCCTGATTTTAATATATTTAATACCTGTTCGGATGCTTCTGGTAATGGAGTATTGATTATTTAATTGAAGTTTTGTGAATAGGGCATCTTACCTCACAATACTCTTCTTCAAAAGTATAAACTTGAGGAATTTGAAGGCATCTCTAATGCTGTAAAGTAAGTCCACTTCTTCTGACTAATTGGCTTAAGAACTGGAAATCTACGTAAACTAAATGAGGAGCTGGAACGAAATGAGGCCTTCTTCATTTCGTGTGGTATATATTTGATTCTCGAGAAACTGAAAATGATCACTTATCGGAATTTATTTAAACAGATGTAAGGAAGCCTTGTCTTTTTTGTGAGAATCTTTAGCGCTGGAATATTGAAAACGCATCTGCTACCTGTTCCCGCCTTCACAGAGGCATTGAAGATGATGGGGGTATGTTAGTTCTAGCGATATACTTTTGTCACTGTCAAAAAAAGTAGCCCATGTGGTTTCCCTTTGTATTTCATTCAGGTTGAAGACATCGACACCGATGAAACGGAATGCATTTTAGCTAATTTGATCTATGAGGTAAGTCGCCAAAGTATTAAAAACAAAGATTATTTACTTGTTGGGGAGTTCTGTTTCAGGAAAGGTCATTTTGATTACTGAGTCGACTCGATTTTATTCTTTGTTTTCTGGAATCGCGGTAATTTTGTCACTAGAAACGGAATAATCTGGGTAGCTAACATTCTTCGTCTTATTTGAATACCCCGAATTCCTGTATGCCGTCCTGTTTAACATTTACCTTGTTGCCTCATTACAATATCAACACTTCATAACTATTCACAGTTCTCCGCTTTTTAACCGTTTAAATTTCGTAAAATTGCGGCATGCGTCTTTCCTAAATGCTGCCTAAAATAGTAAAAAATTCGGAGGAGTAAATTAAACCTGATATCTCTCCTATTCCGGAATTCCAACACTGGGTGAGATGCCAATAGTGCTTTACTAGTTTATTTTCATAGTTATGTGTTTAGTAGGTGAAATTAGCCTCTTTGCTGTTTATAAACTACCACAAGAGGGCTGTGATACCGTAAATTATATTTTCAGGGCAAAATCAAGGGATACCTAGCCCACCAGCAGCAGAAGCTCGTCGTCAGCAAAATCCAGCCATTCCCCTCTTTGTAAATGCGCATATGCACACATCCCTTCTGTTAATAAATTTTGGCATTAATGACCTAATATTCGCCTTGGGGGGGGGTGTAAAAACTAATCGCATCCCTGACGGTGTATGAATAAACGGTAAAAGTGAATAAGTTGGGTTCTGATGCTTGGGTCGTCTTCAGCAATATCAAATTCATTTTTCGGTTTAGCGGCACCAGACACTTTTCTCCGATTGGATTCATAATTAGTCTTTTACCAGCTGTAAGTGTGAGGCTTTCACTGTTCCATGGATAAGTTGGCGTCTGATTTATGTGAATGGCCATAGTCTCGTGGTTACGACATAAGCTGTTAGCATTTTTAACAAGTGTTACAACCGAGGAAGTTCAATCCACTCAAGTTGTTGCGGTGAGCAGTGCAGTTTTACAAACATTGTTCTCAGAGAAACGTTTTCACCCACAAAGAGTGAAAAAGGCTCTCTTACAAAAGGCACTTTATTAGAAACCTTTTAGATGTTAAACCTCATCCTACTTTCACTTTTAAGATCAGAGAAAGTCCTCCGTGGACTGGTGGTCGCTGATGAGGATGTTCTCGATTTCCCCGAGGACGGGGTTGGTGAGAGTTGAGATAGCCTAAAATAGCATTAGATAGATAATTGTCCCCGGTCGAACGCGGCAAATTGCATGTTTGAGTGTAGAGGGTTGGAAAAACTCCCTATCACTCAAGTCTATACATCTTGAATGTCAAAGCAACTCAGCAAACGCTTCCGATCTCCCACCAAGATAAAGGTTCTGGCCTATAATTGTAAAAGATGGTTCGAATGGTGGGCATCATCTGCAGAGCATCAAGACAAGTCAGTCGCAATGAACACCAAATTGCTAGCTACTCGTAGTTCCATTCATTAGGTTTGCTCGGTCATCTGGTTTTTGAGTACACATTTACCATGGCTCCCATATTTCCCAATCACCTATTCCCAACTCGTCTAGTGGCGCATTCACCAAGTTCTCTCCCATCTCATAGCCTTTTAGGACTGCTTTTCAGTCGTTTGGCAGAAAAGTGTTTCGGGATATTAACATCGCTTTCTTGTGCTACGAAAACAGCGTTTTGCCATTGTGGATATGCCTTTTCTTGTGGTGATTAGCGGTTTTGAAGTGTTTCCTATCCATTAACAACTTAGCAACGCCCACCGAAATGTACGCAACACTTAAAGCTGTTTCCGGAGCCTCAGACACGTACCGAAATTGCACCGAGATTTTCCTGCAACTGGTCAACAGTCGCAGCTCCGAGGATGACGCTGTTCACATAGTCCGACTTCAGGCACCAGGCTGAAAAGGTAGAACGTTTTTCCGCGCAGAAGTAAGCCAATCACGAAAGCAATGTATTGCAGGGACCGCAAAAGTCAAATGACTCCATAGACATTTTTTGGGTAAATAATGTTTAAATTAATGAAATGCGATAAGTGTACAAGGGATGCTAGGAGTTTGAAACAAAATTTTTGGCTTTATAACAGGTTGAGAGTGTTTATTGAATCCATAACGAAACAGAAGTCCGCTTTGGTTGCAAAAGATGCTAGTCTCACCGATTGTGGCTTAAATAAACATCAACTGTTTATGTGAATGGCACTAAATTTTTCCCAATAATGCAATTGAATAACGGACAATGAGGACAGTAGATCACAAGAAACCTATTATCAGATGGACACTAAGCTCAAATTTGCAAGTGCTCCATAAAATAGCTGACTTTATGAGCTGGTTTTTTTCTACTATGACGAACCAACTCTCATACTTTTTATGGCTTTATATGCGATCGATTGCGTTAAAGCGGTGAAAGAGTGCCCCTTTCAAAATACTTGCGCCGAATTTTGCCAAAGGTGGAAGCATCCTACCTATTGACAGTTGTGGTAGAGATATGCCGAGTCGGTGTGCCAACTTTGATAATTTCGACACTTGAGCTAGTTGATCCTGGCCTTCCTTACTATGGATTTGTTCCCGAAATTCCTTCTGTCCCTGTGGCGTGTAAAAAAGGGATTCGCTTGTACGATATTGGATTCACAGATTTTTGAGTGCACGAGCTGGATTAGAGACAACAATTTGCCCATTGATGGCTGCTGCGCGGACGCGTTTAGTTTGCCTTAAGTTATGTAACACCTTAGCAAAATTGGAACAGCATTACTTAAGGTTGAGCTAAATGGATAGGTTTTGTTAGGCTTTGTAAGCTAGATTAGAAAGGTTTTACAACGAAAAAACACCAAATGGCCAGCCTTAAGGGTTGAAGTTGTGTAAAATCTGAGACATTGGCATTGAAATAAGCTCTGGTATCCATATATCGACAAAGCTCACTCGTGAAGTAAAGTGAGCACTACCCTTAGTTGCTTTGCAAAATCGTTTTTACGCACGTACATTCATTCTTATTCATAATTTAGAGATCTGGTATCCGAGTGCTTTCGATTTTTGAAGTAGAGTGACAAAATGCATACAGCTAAGAATAGAGAATGCCTAGTATCATCATTCTACTTTGTCAAACTGATATGATGCCAATACACATTCAAAATCCGACCGGTCATTTGAAATTGATACACTACAAAGGGCTCTGCAAAAGTAAGAAGGAACAAAGTGTTTATGAATGCAAATAAGTATAGTGTGGTGCTGAACCAACCTGAAGGGAGGCACGGGAGTATCGGGGTATGCTTTCTAAATACTTTCCCGAAAGGAGGCCTTTCGCCAGAGGAGCTCCAGAAACAAGACCCAGACCTGTAAATGCATGCAAACTACTTCTCCTGGCTGAACAGTTAAGAAGTAATATATTATAACCTCAGCAGTCAAATGTCATTTGTGATGAATTTGTTAACAGTGTCTAGGGGATTCATTGTGCCTTTTTCCAACTATGGTCTTTATTGTTAGTTTGCTGCGATTTAGCCACTGACCAAATCATGCCCATTGGCCTACAATTAAAATTATTTTTTCTGATAGAACCTAGCAAGCATTAATTCATTGTTTAAATACATGCACCTGGCAAAACGCGATAAACTGGAACCTGCTTAAAAGCGTTGCGGACCGTCACTACATTAATGATTCCTTAACTATATATCGTCTTTCTGGCATTTCAGTACAAAGGGTTTCTGATTTACTGCTCTACCTTTACATTCACTTCAGGAATTTGCAGGAATTGCCTGAATTGTTGCGAGGGTACACTCTTTAGACGGTAGATCTCTTACCAAAAGTCTGAAATCACTTTAAAATGGTCTGCTATCCAATCATGCACTCGTGGCAATCAATCTACTCAAGATGTCACTCACCTTTATTTCCCTACATCTGTTTCATCTAGATTTAGCTTTGTTATAAATGCTGACTAAGGCACTTTGTCAATGTAGCATCCAGCGCAGGCTAACTAAGCATTTGGAAAGAATTAGATAGTTGCTGTGAAAATACACTCATTTGGAGGGAAAACAAAGTAGTTATGATCCACTTGTCAGGTCCCCAAGTGTCGTTAATCGGTATCTCGATGTTTCAAATAGGCATTCAAAATAAACTTCTTGCACTTATTAATTACAGGTACAGTGAGTAATGAGCCAACTTTAAACGGATAGGGCACGGTGACTCTGTCGTCAGCTAATGAATTAAAGAAATCTTCAATAGTGTAGGGAATTCTGAACTGCTCTGACTTCATGGCAGAGTGTAGAAATGAGCGGTAAAGCGGCTGCGGCGTTTTTGATCAAAATGTAGGAAAGTAAAATTAAAAATAGTTTTGATTGTTCTAGAGGTAAGTGACTCGTGGCAACCAAATGATAAGTCTGTCTCGTCTAGCCAAGGGGCATGTTTAATTGCACCTTACACAAATTCGAGCACTTTAAAATTGCTTTGTAAACCGACTTGGGACCTTTATCATCTACGTCCAGCTGCGCAAACTACCTCACGAAACAATTAAGGAAATGTGAATAAGGAAGTAGGAACTAGAAAACCATCGTCATGTATCAAGACATCACTAAAGGAGGAAGCTGAATGAGTGGGACTTTACGTCAGACACAAAAACTGCTTTCAAGGTCCAGCTTCCATTCAAAACTGCCGGTCTGAAGGCTAGTTGTCAGTGTAAATAAAAATTTCTGCAGGAACTATAACTAACCCATTTTTTAGTTTTGTGTGAAAGTAGCTTTACAGCTAGTCATTGTAGTCGATCTAAATAAAACGCACGCTAATCAAGGCATGCTTCTTAGGGCATTGGTAAGCGATTTTAGCACTTTTAAATCTTCATATCTCAACTGACATTGAATACTTATGTGAAATAATTTTGAAATCCATTGATTGTGCTAAACCTTAAGATTGAGTGCAGTTACCCAGTTTGACACAAAGTTCTGGCAGTCCATATTCATGAAAATCGCGCTGCAAGAGATTTAACTCCATGCATTCCATGGAAGGCGGAACGAGATGAAAGAGGCGTGCCACGGTATGGGCTTCCTGTAGAAAACAGGCAAGTAATTTTACGTTACTACCCCTATAATATAGGAGGTAATTAAATGGTAAGCTATTATAAAATATTGTTGAATTTAAAGCATCTTAAATAATTCAGAAGTATACAAAATCTTCCGTTCCATTGCAAGGAATTTTAAATTTCATGAGTTCGTCAAATATATGCTTCTTCGACCCCAATTCAAAGCTAAATGGGTTCAACTAAGGCGTTTAAGTCCTCAAAACAGCCTAATATTGCAAAATTGCCATTTCTTTGTAAGACTTACTCTAACAGAGCAAATCATCACGCAGTTTTAAAATTACCAAATTGAATTTACTTATTCATTTATCGAAACATGCTATTTGTTTTGTGAACACCAACATATTGGTGAAGGTAGCGATAAGCAACAATATATTCCTACTTTCCATGCTCATATGCATTTTACTGAGTAAATAATACTAATGCCCAAATTCGACTGCTTTATGCATAGTTTCATTATTTCACAAAATTTTATTATAAAACTCGACTCTAATGGTCCGTTTGAAGGAGAGAGAATAGTGGATATTGCCAGCAATGGAAGTTGACAGGTATTAATTACGCACTTTGCATCCAACACTAGTTTGCTGCTAACTAGTTATTCATTCAGAATTTGTCTTGAGAGCGATGACTACAATAAAATGACAGCTACATTCAGCGTTTTGCTTCATCATTCCAGAGCGACTACAAGGTATTGGGGTTTTTTACCCCAAACATTAATCATCACCTCCTCCTCTCCATGACGTTTCCTTCTCTTGTGGATAATGTATTGTACCATTCTTCTGGTACAGGACACCGGGCATCTTGCAATGATGGGGGGAAGCATAAACGCACCATGATGTCGCCTGGAGGCCAGTTGGAGGTGCCCCAGTAGAAAGTCCAACCTTGCTGCACGGTGAAGGTGCAGGCGCGCACAATCTCCTCGATGGTGCAAACGCGCTCTGGGTCTCGACTGATCAGCACAATGTCCACATAGTCTAGCTGCAATCGCTCCAGAGAGCCCAAGAGGCCTCAAAAAAAACAAAAAACTCAATGATCCGTCAGCATTACTTGTCCGCCCATTCGAGAGAGAAGAAAGAGTGGTCGCATATTTCGAGCAAAGCGGACTAGATGCAAACAACGTAAACAGGTCTTGTCGTAAAGTACTGCATATTTTGCGACGTGCCTGCTGCCGATCATTTTTAGGTAAAGTGTCAATTTTTATGACTCATCACTCATAATACTTTCAAGTACATTTTACGGAGGGTTCAAGATATCATTTCCTGTGTAAATTTGTATTCATATTCAACAGACAATATTTGACTCGATAGATACATGCAATGGAGGTAACCTTTCACGGATGATGCAGCATTCCATAATGCCCCACTGAAGTTCTTGATTAATTTTCCAAACAAATTGGATATTGCGAGGAACATTGTAAATCAGTGAGAATACCATGACAAAATTGACAGGAAACAAAAGAACTTTAAATAAATTCAAAAGGCTTAGCCTATCACAAAGAATAAAAAACACTCAAATATGTTTAGTGTATCCAGCTCAATACATTTGCTAAATAAAGTGTGAATAAGTACAGTAGGTTCTAGGATGGACTCAATAAATTTGTTTTAAACAGTTGTCTTAAATTATGTGGCCAATTTTATATAGAGGGATTGGTCGCGCCTTTTCGTGTAGAGAGAGTCTCAACAAGTCTGCTAGAGATGCCAATTCGAAATCGAATGCTCTCAAGTACTTACCATTTCAAACAAACTAATTTCAACTGCTCCAAAAGCACAAAGTTTTGAGACCAATCACGAAATATAATGGGAATGCACTTCAAATATGCCAGACTCTGGCCACATTACTTTTTCCTCTTAGAGGAATAAATCGAATGTCTAAGCAAAAATAAGCTCGACATTAATTTGTTAATTTATCGAAGGTCCTGTGTCTCTACAAAATGCATCCGAACAGTGTGCAAGACAGTCGATTCAGTCTATGGGTGGAATGAAAGGAGGAAATACAGTTGGGGCAACTGGTTATGAAAATGACGCAAAGTGGTGTGCATTCTACTTGTGACTTGTACCTTTTTATGCAGAAATGGTTTCGAGCAGAGTGCGATTCTTTTGGCTCTGACTAAGTAATCCCAAACCGTGATATTAACATAAAATACAAATGCAATATGGCATTCTGTTAACTCCTCATCTCTATTGCCCAATATCAGTCTTTTAGGAGCCACTACCGTGCCAGTGCCGGTGAGGGACTTGAAGCACTACTTGCAAAATGCGGGTGTAGGAATAAGTATGAAACGGTTTTTCTTATGGTCAAAAAGGGTGTTATATTATGATTTTATGATTTTAAAATTCACATACTACAGTTGAAATCTCTAAATAAGGGTCGTGTGGAGCTTTTACGTGGTTTGTCTGCATTGGTATTTCCAACACCCAGACAGCGACCACAATGTTAATAAATTTGTTGCCGAGATTTTTTGGGTGGCCTTATTTTGTGGCACGTTTACCTAACAAACGACCGATAAATCGCTCATGAAACGGAAAGAAAGGCAATGCTGTCGGTAATTGGTGTTGGAAGTCACAGGACTACGACTGTGTGGCATGCACTTTTGAAATTCCTCGGGGCCATTCCCTGGTGTGCTTCAGTACAATCGAAGGTGTCAGTAGCGTCAATCATAACTTTCTTGTAAAAGTTCTTTGGCGCGATGCAACATTCACGTATTCCATACCCTCAATAATTCGTTTTCGTGATAACGTAACCTCTGTTGGTGCGCTGAAAGCAACAGAAAACAGTTAGTAAGGCCTTTGAATGAAGAACTATGCAAAGGATGGTTTCTCTCCATCTACCTACACTTCCAATATTCATTAGAACCGTTTAATTAGGACATAAAGGCAATCTTTTACTACCGCCGCATTTTCCGGACATCGTAAAACACTGCGTTTTTAATATTAACACAGTTGGAGGCGCATCAAAATGTTGGACTGGTCGTGTAAGTAAAGAATTTTACAAGGAATTTGATACTAGCTTTTGTAGCAAATGAAGAATACAAGTGTTGAAAAAACCAACTTCTTCGTAAAATGGAAAGAATTTCTATCTGATCGCCTTTTTACAAGTAGAGGTGAGTCCTGCCTTATGCGTGAAGGGTTTTCTTCCCCACTGTAATTATTCGCTTACCCCTAACCCGCAGGTGAATCTCTAATTCCTACGAGCTGCGTAACACTGCTTTTATCTTAAGTTTGTTGCCCCTACTACATGTTACATATTTCCTGGCATCATTTCGTTTAATTTTCTAGTAAAATATGTATTAATCTTTTTTAGTCTTCTTTGATGAAAGTTTCGTGGCAGTTTTCTTCAAACTTTAGAGATATTTGATTTCCCCTTTAAGAACACTTTACATGTTCCATTGTTAATCAGAAGTTGAGATCTTTGAAATCAAGCATTTGATCGGTACTTGTGATAAAACTGGTGTGGTCAAGACTCGTTTCGATAAAAATTAAAAAAAGTCACTTCCATAACCCCAAATAAACTGTAAGCATCAAGATGATGTGATTAATTTTCCACGATGCCATTTGGAGTTAAAAGGCAAATCACGCTTACATATCTGGAGGATCCTTTTCGGTTTACCGTAATTAATACGCACTTAAAATATAGTTTTCAGAAATGCCAAAACTCCTTTCATTTCCGTTCTCATCGGTAGAATATAACTACACTCTGGGTGGTAGCATAAAGCTAGCACTGAAATCGTAACGATGAGCGGAGTTTCATGCCATTCCGCTTTGAATAGGGTACATTTATTGACAACTATCAACGGGTGATCACTAATGCATACATCCATACCAGAGACCATGGTCACAACGTCAGATAAACGTATGATAAAATAGATCTAGACGGATGCCTTTTTGGCAATTAAAAACGAATTTAAAGGATGGCATAAATCAGATTATACAGAAATATGCACAAAAGAGGAGGACGGGTTACAGAAAGCGCTGTTGATGCGAGAGATGCAAGGCGGTTGCCGCAGCTGTTACTTCAACACCTGATTCGGAATTACTTAAAAAACAAGCGAGGGTGAATCTTCAAAATTTTGAATAATTTTGACTTATTGCTATCAGAGAATAAAGTTTTGAACAGGAACCGTAGTATTAAAATAATTTTCAAGTACCGTTGTGGCAAACAGTCGTGTGTTATATATGCAATGCACACCCTCCTCAAATAAAATTTTGGTTGACTTTTGCGTAATTTGCAAGGAATTACATCAATGGCAAGAAATCTGCTTGAGTTTAAATATGTCATGGTTATCTGCAATGAACTTCGCAGATAACTTGCATTCACATTTCACCAAATTTAATTTTTCTTAATTACCAAAGCTTAACTTCGATAATGCGTTCGTTGCAGTGAATCTACTAACACCAGGTGGAGTTGATCAAAAGAATTTTACCTCATGCTCTGTGTAAAACCACCAAGCTGTTGTGCAGTCATTCCGCTTACATCTACTTAAAATACTAACTTAATAGCTGTTGTTTTGTCGATGGGAACACGGTCAACTTCTGGTCGGCTGCGAACAGTGTAACGCTAGTTGATTATTGAGTTGATGGAGCTCAAGAGTTAGAATGCAATTGGTAATACGAGATGGCTACAGACTTTATTACAGCTTCAAACTCATTCCAACAGGAGAGGAGATTTACTGATCCTGCATCTCTGATCAACCGATTGTAGACCCTTCTGCTTCGCAGAGAACGCTTTTAATTTACACTCACCTGCCGTGCCGTAGGAGCTTGGTGCAGACGATAAAACTTGACCGCCTACAAGATTGAAAAGGGAAAGCAATTACTTTACTAGGCTGAGCGTGCTATCTCAATTTCATTTCCCGGAGTGATAGTATTGTTACTAGTGTTTGTTGTGGGTCTCTATTATCATTATGTCATATCTGCACCAATTGGAGTCATTAAATCGGCAATTATTGTTTCATGTAGAGTAAGCAGTCGCTTAACACGCATTTCTTTATGATTTGAGTTTTATTTGAGCTTTCAGTTGTAATCGTTGCTTAAAAATGCTTAATAAAGAAGGATTTCTTACTCTGCATTTTCAAATTCTTGTAAAAATAACTACAGGAGATTGGATTGTGGTAGTAGATCTCCCATCAGTAAGAGGTTCATAAAGGTGGGAAATTAATAAAATTAAGCGGAATACTGCTTCACCGACGAAAGTATGATATCATAGCCGTTACATACCTCCATCCCTTACTTTTTAGGATTTTTCCAAGCGTTCTTTCTGCTCTAGAGGACAGTAAATAGAAAATGACAGGCGTTGAAAATGGCACTGGCAAGATAGGTGCACACAAGGTGAACCTACCGACCATCCGAATAATACTCGGCAGTGTCGAAGAAGTTCACCCCGCTGTTGTATGCCAGTGTGGTTATCTTTTCTGCCATCTACAATATCATGGATTGTGAGGCACCGTTGCACCGACTTCGGTGCAACGTTTAATAACTTTTGATAGTTGGTACAGAGACAATCACTCAAATTCCTCCAAAATTCTTTATTCAAAGTGAATAAAGATACATCAAGCAGTATTTCTGAATGCTGCGTATCACGGTTAGAGTAAAAACTTTTCTCTAACCTCGAGTAACACAAATAACCCGCTAATTTGTTTTAGTATTGCTTATAACAAATAAATTTGATTCTGTTTTTCTGAGGCAAAGTAAGGTCCACTGTGTGAGGTTAGTGAAAAAAGGTTAGTTGGCATTGTGCCCAAGGAGATAATTCTACCTGGAGGCGAGGGATAGAGCCGCAAACCATAGAAAACCTTACTTCATCTGAGATCTGACCACCAAATGTCACAGCTGTCCCTAAACAAAAGGAAAACGATTTGTTTGATCAATCCTGGCTTCAAATTCACGTAACTAGAAAATAAATCAACAATTCACTACAGAGCAAAATTTCACTAATTATTGAGGTATTGGGAAAACCTAATAATAATCCAGCTCTGCTAGGCACTACTGAATTAGTCTTGCTCTTCTAAGAGCATGCTTTACTCAGTGAGTAAATTTTAATTAAAACCCAGAAGGTCAACTATTTTTACAGCGACAAAACTTTTTATGTATGAACAATCCTGCCTGATTTGGTGCTATTCGGAAATGTATGTTAGGCATGGGATAAATTTGACCGCAAGAAGTGTGAATTGTAGTATAAAACTCAAGAAGAGAATTAACATTTCAATCTGAGCCATGAGGTGCCATCGACCTGTAAGAGCAACTTTTCAAGATTGCACTTCCCTGAGCGGAGGGCAATTTATACATCGCGCATCGATAGCTTCCCTTTAAGAATAGTAATATCACTGCATTTCTAAAGGCAACTTTCTTGCTACTTAGTTCATTTTTAGTGTCACAATAATGCCTATTTTTCTCCTTGCATATTCACGTGTTGCGGTAATGCCACGACGCGCATTCCGTGTTCCATACAACGTGAAGGACTAAACTTCTCATTTTGCGAAATAGAAAAATAATTATTTTCTTAGTGGTACATGACATATATTTAGTCACTTCTAAATAAATCAAGCAATTATTTGTAGTTCACCAGATTTTGCTCCAAAACCGAGTAAATGTGAATATTGAGTCACATACACTGCGGTTTTTCGATATCACCTTTCCTGTGGTCCACTAAAACTCACTGAAGTGAGCGTTTCGCGCAAAACATGTCATTAACTATTGTAATTCTAAGTACGCATCGGCAAGGAAAATCGTAAAATACTTAGCCAGAAAGAAAGCAGGAGAGCTTGACATATATAATCGTGGTTCACTTTCCGTCAAAGAAATGTAAGTCGACATTGAATATTCGTTGTCGATAAAACTATTTTGAATGGAATACTGCCCATAAACGACACGGTCTCAAGATTTTTTTTGGATCAAAGTAGAAACGGAAATATCGGTATCGAAGTGTAAACAATAATAGTAACCGGGGAGTTCCAAATGGGTTTTGGCCTACGCAGCCAGTTCTAGTGGCTTTATTGACACCATCAAGTGGATAATGACTTTCACCTGGAGAGTTCCTCTGCTTCCACCAAAAGCAACTTGGAAAAGTGGATAATAGTGCATTTTAGAAACACTACTAGTTTTGAATTTACCATACGATTTCGCTCTGACTGTCCAACCGCTTGCTTCAGAGTTGAACTGAATAGTTAGTACACACCTTGTTGTCAGTGGATGTTAGGTTGTCGCCTGGTTACTATTCACCAAAATCTATTTGTTCCTTATTAAAATTGCATTAACGTTAGGGCTGAGGTTCAGCGGTTTTCAATTTTAATAGTGGAATCGGTGAAAGGACTCAAAGTTGTCAAAATAAAATTACTGTTAAAATTTTTACATTTTGCTTACCAAGGCCGAGGCACGAAACTCTTAATCCTGTGCCGCCGAGTTTTCTAAAAACAAATTCAGCTTAATCATCATGTAATTCGAATCACATTAAATTGCTTAAGGTCAAGGAGTTACCTAAGAATCGCAGGATTGGCTTGTTATGAGGTGCAAAAATAACTGAGGTGACTAAAATGTTTGAATTAGTAGTAACTTTCTGTCTCCCTTCTTTGGCGCGTAAATCGGCTCTACATGAAAGCATGCTGCGCAAAAGCCCCACCAAGGCGCTTATGGCTTGAACCTATCCATGCATGTCCAAACAAGCAACTTTTTCTGCGCTACTTACTGGTTCCAACTTTTCAATTTTTTCTACTTTGTTTTCGAAGCGAAAGACTTTATAAATAGGCAGCAAGAAGAATAAATGACGCCTGATCCGCTTAGCAAACAGTGTAGTATTATATATGCGAAATTCTTCATTGATCCCCTCCCTTGTGGAAAACATGCCATTAACTCACAGCCAGGTATATTAGCCCATGTGATTTCAGGGTGCTGCTTGGATTGGAGCTACAGATAAACAACTGACCTGTTGTAAACACTGGAAGATTTAGAATCTGGATTTTGAAAAAGGCTCAACAGATTTGTATTTATATTGGATTGCCTGCGAATAGAAAGCAGTAAATGTGCAATTAACTTGATAATATCATCCACGGTCTTGTGAATATAATTTGGTGGGATGCGTGGCAAGGATAGAGAAACGGGCATACAGGTAGCACACACAATTCGACTCCTATTCTAGTGTATTTGCATTCGATAACGTCTAAAGATTCTCAACAAACTCGACTTATGCAAAGAATACCGAGTTGGAAGTTACAACTGCAGAGCAGTTTTTCTCAAAATAGATGGGTAGGTAGGCGTGCATTTTGAACCTCTGGGAATAGTAAACAACGGAAAACCGTGAAAATTAGTGCTTCCGAATTGCACACATCCGACGGTCCATCGTTGGCTTTAAACATGTACGCCTGTGATAGCTGCCCTTTTGTTTGCCTAAACCTCACTAAATCAAGTGGTGAAACTTGATTAGGGAGCATCATAACTTGAGTGAAAGTAACCGAGGTGGTGAGGTTGCTTGATTGCATAAAAACTTTGGGGCAGCGATATAATTCTTTTATGTTTTAAAATCAAGAACATACAACAAGAAAAATCGCTAGAAGCCAAGTAACTGATTCAACTAAACATAAAATTATTAACTAACGATAGAACATCATGCCGTTATTCATTAGCCCTTAGGCCACTTGCCCCTTTATGCATCGAACTTAATATGACAGGAATACACTTAAACATCTGAAACATCCGCTCACTTAAAGACTCTAAAAACCTTTGAAAACTACATACAGATATATGTAGAATTAATGTTCCGTAAAAGAAGAAATAGTAAGTAAAGTGGGTAAACGGGTATTAAAGAAAATGGGTCCGATGATTTACCTATACTGCATTCTGTAGACAGTTTAATAAATTGAATTTCTTGGTGTCTGGTCCAAAATGCTTCAAGGTACGTAGCTATTCAGTTGGAAAATTCGCATTCATTTCTGCTAATAATTATAACAGCATTGGCCAATCGGAATGCGATTATTTGCCAAATCAACAACCTGGTCGGTGATTGGCTAGTGAATCCGCACAAGGATAAATTCATCACCTCTCTTAGTCGTCCTATTACTGTACCTTGGATTAAAACGCATATTAGCATTACAAGCCTTCCATGCCGAAATGTACGCCTTCATCTCCATTGTCCTTAATGAAGTTCGGATTAACAACAGATCATTCGTAAATGAACTTTTTTGGTAGGGCATTAAACTTTAAACGCACAAAGATTAAAATTACCCAGACTTCACTTAACTACCTTAGTAATGTGTCTAACTATTCTGGGAGCGAAATGAGAATAGTCAGTGTCACATGGGGACACCCAGAGTAGTGGATATGATTAATGATATGAGTATTAGTGTGACTCTATGACAATGGGCCTTGTAATGAACCGTACACGAGCAGTGTGTGCCTACGTTTGACTGTAGCTGGCTAACTTGAACATCGGTTTAACCGCATTTTTTGTGCATGAGTATATCTTTCCAGCCCGACGGATTGCGCATTGGATTATGCACTCAGGCATTAATGTATTCTGAACTTATTCCAGATTCATTCATTCAACCCCAATTAATTATTTCATTTAATCATTTGCGATTCATTTATTCTTGCGATCGATCTCTCATTCATCCACTCCTTCCAATGCCCTGCATTATTCGTTCTCTCTTCTTTCATTCACTAATTTACGTGTCCATTCGTTCAATCATCCCTTCTTTATAAGTTGGAATCCCACAACGTTGATTGGCCCATTCCTAAAATATCATCGGTGTTTTCACTACTCCAGTCATGACAACAAAATATTTTTATGCCCACTTTAATGTACTTCCTTGCATACGAAAGACAATAAATTGATCGCTGCTTTGATAGAAAAGAACTGTCTCTCTCTGAGACTACCCTTCCTTCCAGTGGGTTCTTTTCACTAAATGGAGCTTCGACCAAATGAGATGCGTTTAGGACTTCGCAATATTCTTCAGATTTACATACTTTTATGGCAGCCTTGCTTTCGTTACTTAATACCTAGGATGGGAATGGCAATTGATCATCGCATATAATTGTCAAGGTTTAAGTAAGCTAGATTAAATTCTTTTTCCTGGACAATGACAACTCCTATTTTTGACGCTTTCAAGTAATCTTCGGTTTCGCATTCATTGGAATATAGTACACGGTCCGGTATTAACTTCAGCACTCTTACTCCCCATGAAACTTCACCGTCACCACTGTAGGTTGGAGAACCATCCCTCTGCCCGTTTCAAAATGCAAACAAAATTTGACGATGTATATTTACCGGGACCCCAAATGCTCATGCTTTTTAGCGCACACGAACCAAGGAGGAGAGCACCACTGCCACTTTTGATGCAGTCCATTGCAAAAGGAGGCTACCACTGAATTACAAGAACCAAATCTAACCAGTAGGAATGCGATCGCCCCTGCAACACCTTGCAATTTTTATATACGGTTAACGGTTAATGCCAAGAGTTCCACAAAATTGTATTGTCCGCCTACACTAGAACTGGACCATGTCCACTACAAGCTGAGTAAGGTAGCCCATCCCTCCAATTTTCACCTGTGACTTTAGTAATATTCATGTGTAACAGATGTTATACTTGTCTGTTGACAAGTTAAAGTGGCTGGGGTTTCGTAATCGTGCAAAAGCGAAATTCGCAAGCTGCAAGTCTGTGTAAACGTCCCTGTGCTTGATTAAAGCCTGAAAAGATAAATAAACACTGAAATTTACTATCCACCGTGCGTCAAGGATTGTGTTGTATTCATTAGTTAAGCACACACCCACATACAAAGAGCGAGACAGGTGGCTGCGTGATTTGGCCAGTGATACTCCGAGAGTCCAAATTATTCTGCATCAGTATTAATTCCTACGCTACGTAAGAAGGGACAGCACGTAAGTTTCCTTATCCCAAAAATTAAACAACAATGTTTTTAATCCAAAGTCATTTATTTTTCTTAGAAAAAAACCGACACGGACTAGTTAAGACCAATTACTCTTGTACAGGAGTAGAAATGAGCAAATCCGAACATGTGGTGGGTGAAAAGAGAGGTCTTCCTAAGTGACCCATGGATCTACAGTTTCCTTGACATTCCTCCTTCGAATTACGCCTTCAAGCTCCTCTTTGTGCTTGTCAAACTTAAACAAAGTCATTGAGGTTGATGGTGACTGTGAGTGATTGAGACGTTTGTCCGAGGATGTCAGAGAAATACCTGTCGAGAGCCATCTCATCAGGCACTTCAAAATAACTACGTTAACAACGAGGAAGAGAGCAGAGGCGCCCCAGAGGGCGAGCCAAAGACTACGGCCCCAGAAAGCACCTCCGCCCATTTCGTGAAGGTAGGCGACAGTCAACCAGCAAACCTGGCCGGCGAACCAAAGGCCGGCCAACGAGGTGGTCCGACGAACCACACTTGGGGTGAGGCCGGTGGTGCGCGCCACGTAGCCGAACAGTCCCTTCGAGGCCTCATGGCACCCCGGCGGTGTGTGAATGTGGGCCAGCGCTGGGGGCAAAAGGACCAGCCACCACAGGAAATACTGCGACGTACATACCTTCAAAATAGATGGAAGGTGTTATCAACACCGTTAAGAGCTTGAATTCACGAAAAGCAAGTGGCCTCGAGCGGAAACTTCCGAGAACTCGCACATTGGGCGTTTGTCAAAGTGTTTGGGACGATCGACAGATAGCTAAGTCCATGAGCCCGAAAGAGGGGTCGCACTAAACACACAAAATTCCGCTCTAGCATTGGAAAAAAACCATAGTCGAAAGATGATGAAATACGGTCGTGTAACCATAACGGTAGTTTGATTAGCTATTACGATACATTTATCACATGCAAATAACTGGATGTTTGGTAGGCGCAGATGCTTCAAAGGTTGTAGGCAACCTTGTGATTTCAAAACCCCTCAGCTTTAACTCTATTCATTGAGTCTATGCCGTCCTATGCCAAAGAAAACACTATTTGTTCCCAATGAATAATTTTGGACACTCCATTTGTCGAGAAATCTAATGGGAAAACTGTGCTGCAAATATATCCACTCACGAATTGTTTAAAGAGTGGAAAAATTATGATGTAAACATTAACCTTTTGATTTAGACAACGACCAAGGATTGCTAGCTTTCAATTAAGAAGCACAAAAGGCATTTCACAGTGTGAATGTAATTGGACTGCGATTTCAAAAGCAAATGCCACAGGCAAGTAGTTCAATGTCCTAGGAAAAAGCCATTTAGTTTAGTACTAGTTTAAAAGTGCGCACAATGAAGTCTCGACATGAACACATTTATGAAATGCAAACGCTGATACGAGAGCAAATGATGTCAAAAGGGTACAAGATGGTACACCACCCAGAAGGTTTCGTCGGTAAGCAAGAAACTTAGCGCTGAGCAAATTCCCTTCAGCTATACTCCACTGAATGCAATCCAACTGAGAAAATTGTTAAAACAATGATCATTAGCTAACCAAATCTACACGTCCGACGAGGTCAAACACAAATATATTGTTAAATTAGACAAAGGTGCCCACTTTCCTGTAGGCTTGGCAAGCCATCATCTAAATGCCTCCCCACCCAAAAGTTCATCCCGGCGTCGATTACGCCAACCCGCTCTGAGCGTCCTTGTGACCGTAAAGTACGGCCCCTTGATGGGCTTTGATGCCGCCGCCATTATCGCTACTCCCGGACGAGAAATTCAAAAAATTTAGCATACACCCATTCGCGGGATTCACTGATACTCGGATAAAGGTGAATAGGACATCTATAAAAAGTAGAATGGATTTAGAAATGAGATATTTGCCTAAAGCTTGTTCGGCAACTAAATCAATTGCCCTTAAGAATCAAACCTTGTCTTGTTAAAACAATGGGGCCATGAGAATAGAGGAACGAGTCCGCGTTCCCTCAAAATAAACTGCAAATTTGCTTAAGAATAGCATTTAAACTGGTCTCATGACACTTAAGCTTGTCAGACAAAGGAAGTTTTTATCTTTTTTCTGGCCTTAAGAATCTCATGAGAAAGAGATGTATTATAGCCCTAATTACAAGAAACATATTTGATTAAATAAGCTTCTGCAATCAACATATAGTGCTATGTGTAAATCAGCCCAGAATAAATAGAAAAGCTCCAGGAAGAATAGAGCTTCGGAATCACAATCGAAGCGCTAAATGCCTCTCGTGTTTCAGCGAACGAAAACAAAGCACATGGACACTTTCCCCATTCAAGGGAAATCGAAGGTGAATGCAAAAACGTGGCCACAAGTAGTTTCAAAACTTAGCTGGTACAAGCTCAATGGCTTTCGTAATGACCACTTATCATATAGGCGAACGATAAATAATGTCTTCTGATCTGGGCACGTGTTTAGAAGTGGAATGAAAATGTCATTTATAAAAGATAGTATTGCCTTTTCAAAAATAGACTGCGTCAAAAGCAGGTGTAAGCGTTCGGACTGGTACCCACAAGTGGCAGCTGCAACACATGCTGTACATTTGCGTCCCATTTCAAACACCATTCACAATGTCGCACTTGTCTTAAGGCACTTTTCCAACGTGAGGAACTAACGCGGAGAGATTTGTAGTTGGAGGTGTCAAAATAGCATCGCTTATGGGAGACGCTAACTGGACTTAATCCTAAGAAATGCGTGCTTATGTAGTAATTCAGTTAAAAAGCGTAATATTCATCGAGCCACGTTTATTCTACTAGACAAAATATTAACGCCATGAACGTATTGTTTAACCGTCGTTGTGGTGTCTGGAGCCTCAGACCCGATAGGCAACAGTTGCGTGTAGACGGAGCTGCTTGTGTGCGCGCGAAAGCAGAGCGAGAAAGGAAGAGATAGTCTTTTTATGGGCCTTGCCACAGTTAGGTTTACGGAAAAACAGAATAGGCCAAAAGGACTTATGCGAGCTTTAGCATCGGCCACATTTAGCACACACTGTAAATATGGTAATCCATTTTGCAGGCCCACTATGGATACCTAATCCTGATGATAATAAATTATTCTGGGGAGTTCTAAAACATCACTATTAATGAGCGTTGTCCTTGCCATAACAGTGAATGTATAATAAACAGACCCCGGTGAGAATATGAAAAAAAGTTTGTTGGCTTTCAGTAGAGTATTACAATGTCTACTTTGTTTTTCTTTCCAAATTATTTGATGTTTGCATCCAGTTGCGCGATAAAACGAACCTGATCGTATGGAAGAAGATGTCATTCCTTCCTAAACTGATCCCATTAGTTTTATGCTTTTACCAATAGCTATTAGCATCAATAAGGGTTGCCGCCCTCCAATGACAGCACCAATCATAAGAAGTCATAGTCTGAATCAATCTCGATTCGGCTGATCAAATCATTAATGCAAGCATTTAAGCCGGTAGACAAACTAAGTCACTGATTGACTAAGAGTAGGAATGCTTTATTCACAAACGACTATTGAATAAGACGATAAATGCTCATAATGCCTTTAAGTAGTCTCAATGGGGTCAACTACAACCCGCTATTTGTAAAGAAATCACACGACTACTTTCCTACAAAAGCAGTTCGCTAAGTGGTAGAAACAGCAGCGTGCTACCTATAAGCAGGTGTTTACTAACTAGACACCTCGAAGAACACACGGTAGAGACAGAAAGAATGGGAAGAGAAGGGACTAACCTTGTTGAAGGTGACGAAGGCGAATGTGATGGCAAACCAAGCGAAACTGGGAGTGTGCCAGAGATGGAAGGAGAGACCAATGACGAGCAGAGCCGAGGGTAGCATGATGAGCACCTTGAAGAGGGCGTAGAGGTGCTGGAGGGTGGCGGGACAAAAGAAGATCTCGAGGAGCCAAACAGGGAAGTGGTTGTAGGGGAAGAGGCTAGAGTCGTAGGCGGTCTCGTTGAGTGCCAGAGACCCCTCGAAGAGATAGATGGGGTAGAAATGAGGTGCGAAGTTGTGCCAGAGGTCGACACGGGTGAAGTGATAGAAGTAGGCGTGGTCCAGGAAGGTCCGTCCATAGGCTGCGTAGGCGGCCCACGTGAGCCCCGAGAGGGAGGTGAGAGTTGCAAGGCCGAAGCACCAGTGGCATCTCGTGGGCAGAAGATGAATCGAAGGATGGGACGGTTCGTTGAGTTGCAGATAGATGACAGGCGCGTAGATGACGGGGTAGAGCTTGATGTGGATGCAAAGACCAAAAAGCAGCCCCGCAAGTACCACGCGGTTTTGTAGGAGGCACCACAAACAGGCTAGCACGCACACCCCCAGAATTGACTCCGCATTGCCCCGCACCGAGACGGTTGTCGTGACGGGATTGAACAGCCAAAAGGCGCCAACAAGCCAGGAGATTGTGTGTGTGCTTATTGATTGGGTCTGTTAATGTAAGATACTCCATCATGATGGGTTTTAAACTGAGCAACCAAGCGTTATGAACTGAGTTTTGCGCGAGTGACCTGGATCCTGTCAAGCTCGCAACCAGATAAAAGGAATGGGCAGGGACTTCGAGATAGATGTCTTTATCGACCGACATGTGCAAGTAAAGAAAGTACTGTGGGTGGTTATGAGCCTAGCGGGTAGACAGCGTAGACTGTGAGCGTGAGACTGAATCTTTCGATCGTCTTAGTTACGAGTAGTTGCATTAACTGAGTAACCCTGACCTTATGGTGATCATCAGTACACCGAAAGTGTATCTATACATGGTATGAACCAATTAAAAGACAGCGAATGTTCGTAGACTAGCCATTAGTTGGGACTTTTGGAAAATCAAACAAGAACGTTTTCTAAGGATCCCTACAGCTCCAGCAGATGGTTAATAACAACTAATTCATGGGGGCTTATTTAAAGACTGGAGATGGTGTCCCCTCGAGTGACCCATCACGGTCAGCACAGGGCCAATAATAAGCATCACACAGGTCCCATTTGATTTGATTTGTGGTAGCCCTTTATCTCAGTGCCTTTCAGACGTCTACTTGTTCAGCCCCTTCAAATCTGCAGACTTAACAACTTAGTGTGAAAACATCTGGATCCTATTTGACAACAATGACGAAGGCCAAATGAATCTCTATCAGGAATATTTAGTTTAAACACTTTTCAAATAAGGGGAGAGCAGATAAATGTAAGGGTGACAAAGAGTGCAGAGATGAACGTGGAAGATAATTGCGCAAAAAGTGGCGGTGACATTTGGTACCGCCCAAACCCTCCTTCCTCTCTCCCCGTTTTCATTGCGCACCTACCTCGCAGGCCTTAATTACACTCTGGTGACTAAAATTAACTTGCACAAGAAAAGAAAGTCAGACGTGAAAAGAAACAGGATGCATTAGTGCAGCGCGTGTGTGTGCACTTTTGTGTTTGTGCGTAGGATGCCCTACACCCAGGTGAGCGAAGCAGTTGTGTAATTTCATCTGATGTCAGAGACAGAGAAGGAGGTGGGGGAGTGGGCTGACGACATTTCTATTTTAGACATATCCCCCTCCCATTCACACAATTGTATCAAAACGTGGCATAAAGGAAAATAGACACATCCGCATCCCAGTCAGAATCCAATTTCAACTGTTGCTTCACAGAAGCAGCCTCAATCCAAATTAAACTAGTTTTCCTACTAAATTGACGAAAAGAAGTGCTCAAAGCACTCAGTATCAGATTGTAAATGTTTACTTTTTTAACAAAATATGTGTGATGACCATTACAAGGAATCTAATCACTATGACCTGAGTAGACCTATTAAGATGCATAGACACTTTGAGTGCTCAAGCAAGCCATTTTCGAAAAATAATCTTACAAATGGAAGTGATTTTAACAGACGTTTTGTCTTATTTAAGAAAATCCTTAGCCAAAATAGGTGAGAACGCCAGATACGCATCATCAGCTCGTATTTAGATTTATTTACCGTCAAAAATCGTTTAATTGGCGGGGTTAGGAAAGTTGGAAAAATCGGTCATGCAAGTAAAAGCCATAGCATCACTTCATCTGAGAAAAGATAATCGTGTTTTTTAAACTGACATTTGGTATCAAAGCTCTTAGTGGTGATAGATTGCTAAACCACCTTAGTGAGACTTTGTAAGATTGTAAAAAAAACTGATCATAAAATGTAATTTTGGAAAAAATGGTGACAATTAGTCCAGAAGTCTTCACAAAAATGCATCTTAAATTACTCTGTCCCTATGACCGCTAGTCCACGCCCCACACTACCAAGGAGTAAGAAGCGATGAGTTTCAGTGCAAAAACGCCATTAGGGGAATGACAACTAAATGAGTTACAAAGTTCCAGTTACGAGTCGTAGTCGATCAGAAGGCGGTGAGTGCATTATGCGGTAGACCACATTTTAAGAACCATGAACCACGTTATGACCAGAGATTGACTGAAGCCGTTGGAGCGCAAAAGGGGATTGGGGTCAACTCACAGCGTTTTCCGTGAGGATAATGTGGCGTTGAAGGAGAGCGCAGAAGATGTCAGCAGAGATGAAGACGACCTTGCCGAAAGCGTAGGCGACCGCGCGGAAAGGCGCGGAGAGGCGGAACGTGGTCGAGACGAAGTGGCCGGGCCATAGGAAGAGGGCGATGAGGGGCGAGTAGCGGTAGGTGGGGCGCGCCTCGTAGATGTTGACCCCCGTTGTCATGGCCTTCGCTGCATCCGTGAACACGTCGTAGTCCACGTCCGTGAAACGCAGCTGCCCGTCTGGCCATCGAGTTGCGTCCTGCCATAAGCTGAATGTGAAGAGTCCCAGGCGCAGAACCAATGCGCTACTCAACAGGTACTTCGCGAAGTCGCCAGGTAGTCTTGTCTTCATCGACCTCACTATATGTAAAGGCATTACATACATACTACTCCGCAGTAATAGTAGAAAGTATACACGAGCCTTGATTTGAATCCCATCAAGCTGAATCGAATACCGCCGGAACGTTTCGCCAAAGACACGCTTGTTTCGAGCGTTTTTAGATTTGCCACGCGATTTTGAGAAGGGAATTGCGCACTCTCATATGTCTTCACAAAAAAATAGAACGCTCTACATCAGGACTGTTTCACAAATAAAGGTTTCGTTGGTGCATTATAGATGTTGTGGCAGCCTTCAATGATTGCTTTGACATAATGGGAGACCTAAGAAGAGGTTTGGGACAACTTTCCACTCCTAAAATCATTTATAATGTATCAGATCTGGGGTTTCTGAATTAGCATACTTGTCCTACTGTTAAGTTTGCCTTGACCGTAGTGCGAAACCGAGTACATTTACTGAGCACAACGGGAAACGCCTTATCTCATTGGAAAAAGTGCCTTTCTGATTGCCATGTTCATCTTAGGCCTTTTTTCCTACTCGAACCATAAGGCACCCGATTCCCATGAATGTCCGGATTGAAAACATCAGATACCATAATAACGATTGACAAAATGATCCCTTTTGGAAATATGGAAACATTACAAAACACTTTTAACAAAGGTAATGCTAGTAAACAGTGCACCGGGATCAAACTTTACCAGTCCAGAAGACCATAAAGTCAGTGCACATGAAGGCTTTGTGCCGCTGTAACCGAGTTAAATATAAAACATAAAAAGGAGTACAGGCATGGTTAGTTAGAGAAAGCGATAAAAGAAGCAAAGACAATAATGATAACTCCAAGTTTTTATTTTAATCCGAAGTCGACAAAATGCTGAAAAATGAAAATGGATACATACAAATAATGGAAGGGACGTAATCCCTGAAAGAAATTTGGTTGACCTCCAATTTTGCGGTCCTACAACCATAAAAAGATCATGGATGAAAAAACGCGTACGTCCCAACTTAGAAAATTTTGATGTTAGGTAATTTATTCAGAAGCAAAATGTAGCAGCACTCGGACTGTATGACTGTCATTGGTATGAGCTTATTTTAGCTGCTCAGATAAACATTCTAGAAATAGCAACTGCAACATGCCCATGCGTACTTCAAATCTGCTACAAATGGGTCACCCTGGAAGCTAGTAAAAAATGAGCTTTTTGACCAAAAGCTGCAAAATCAAAACAAGCTCAACAGCAATGGAAATAAGCGGTACATTCGTACGCAAGAGCGATATACTCCCAGAATAGAGTATCAAGATGAAGTACTAAGAAAATAATGAGAGTAGTTTACACGCACGTTTTAACTGCAAAACAAATGGAATTTGATTAGATCATAAAACTGCTGATAGGGTATCATTTTGGACATAGAGACAAGGAGGAACCTACCACATCACCACCACTACTAATATCGCAGCTGACGCCGCTGGCGCACTAATTCAAAGTAGTTGTGAAGGCCGCGCCATTGAACGGAGTTGAAGATAATGTGGGGGCGACAGGACTGAATCTGCGCTACCGCCTCCTCTGGAGGAAGGTCAAATGCCGACATGAAGTAGCAGGTCACGATAAAAGCGGAACGCGTGCGACCGGCCTTGCAGTGGATGTACACGTTGTCCCCTGGCCTCTGACACGAGTCTATGAAATCCAGGCTTGCGTCAACCTACAGTACCATCGACGATGAGTGGTAAGTTTAATGATCTCTTAGTGCAAAGACAAAAGATACGGGGAAAATGGACTCTGCTCACCTGTTCGTTAGTTGGTACACCGACAAAATCTTCTACCGGTAGTGAGAGGTAGCTTATGCCCCTCTCAGCAGCCTCACGAGGACCAAGGACAAAGGACTTAATTTCAAACGGTTCAACCATGCTGATGACATGGCTAATACCCTCCTTCAGCCGAATGGTGTCCCACTCAGGGAGGATTGGCAACGCTCCCAGAAGCAGTTTGTCATTGATCCGATCATACCAGGTCCGAGCTCCCAATTTGTAAGCCAAAGCACCGTACGCCAGTGAAATGTAAAACTTAATTTCTTTCATGAGGTTAGGCATCACAGAGGGGACCAGGCTGGAAAAACACAGGACAACAAGAAAAGTTCTTAACTTTGTCACCGTGTAAGCACATCCAAAAGAATCACTCACAGTAGTAATGGCAAAAGAGGTGTGGTGAAAATACTTTATTTTTTCTACAAAAGCGAACACAAAAACAAGATCTTGCTAGGGCGCCTCTGAGTGCATGTCTGCCGTTTCAGTGTCATCGAACTGATAGCACTGGGCGAGGCTCAAATCAAGTTGGTTTTTCTGTTCCGGCTCAAGGGGCCACGTATCGATGAAAGTCTGTATGGGGGAAGAGCATTTCCCTGTTCGTAATTATCGAAGTCGGTGGTAAACTTCAATTAGGATCTAACTGCCTAATTTTGGCGCATTCATGTACAACACATAGGGTGTTTGTGAATGGTTATTAATTTGCTGTTTGAGAAGGTGCCAAACAGTCTATTTACCTAGCTCGCAACGGAAATCCGTTTTTAACATCGCAACAACTAAAAATTCCTTTGGTATGAGTAATCTAAAGCTCACTGATCAACATTATCAGTGGAAGGCATAGCTATTCAGATGAAAAGCTTTATTCCGTAATTTTTTTTTATAAACAACAATCTGATATGACTACCTTAATTCTATTCCATGATACCCATGAATGACCTATCCATCAGCGTCCTATATTGTGTGCTTTGGCTACATCAATTTGACTTAAACTGTTAGATAACGTACATTAAAATAAAATGTTGTACCACTTGTCAACAGTACATCACCCAAGGTACATACCCGAACGATATCAAGAATTATTTTGTTAACTGGCACGAAGTGATCGCGCTCCGGAGTGCTCGATGGAATCCCCTGTTCAACGGCCTTCATGGCAAAGTTGGATTCAGGATGCAAGAGAGAAGTAAGAATAAGCAGTCTGTAGACCGTGTCCAGAGCCTGGTGAAAGAGTGCTTCCTGTACAAGACAAGCAGGGCGCTGAAGACGGGAAATTACGTAGAGAGCAAAAGGTCCATAATGCCTCGTTAACCGGAGTCTTGTGACTATGTTCGCACTATCGTTTTCACTTTGATCAGAGGCCGTCTGGTAGCAAGCCCAAATTTTTGCGACTGCGTCATTGTACACTCTCTGACTAATACGAATATAATCGGGACTGTCCGGCTCAAACTGAATCAGGATGAGGTCCAACACATATTCGTGCAAACCATTTTTGAGTGCCACCTTTGGGAAAAAAAGTACACCTAACAAGAGAGGGAAGGAACCTCGAAATAATAAGGCTTCGATTTCCGAAACTCATACCTCAAGATTGGCATCTCGGAACAAGGAAGGCGTGCGAAGTCGTCTACCGGGTAGTGGAAAGAATATTTGATTCAGACGATCACGCTCCGATGCATATGCATGACGAAGTGTCCCGTCTGCCTCTCGGATTAGAATTAATCGACGCCGACGACTCGAATCCAAACCTATATCCACAAAAGCCAGTTTCTGATTGGCTGGAAGGATCCCACACAACCCAGGATTTCGAGCAATAACGGAATCCTTGTGATCATCAGGTGATCTTTCGTTCATGACTGGTGGCATCTGCAGCTTTTGAGATGTCAGCATCTCTGAATATTGCATAACCTAGAGAAGCCATTCATTTCACAAGTCTACTATTACCGACTGCAATTCTGTATCTGAAAGAAGCTTGATATCATGAAGCTTCTCAACTTTAAATCTTGATTCATGTATTTTAGTCAGTTGCGACACGGAGACGAGATCGTGCAAAAGATTGTGGATTCGGGGAGTGAGAAACCGACTTTGTAGGTCAGGTGCAGTTGAAGTGGAAAAGAGGAAAACTTATAAGGATGTAAGCAATGAGATTCATACAAACCACTTCTTTTTTTGGAGTTAAGGAACTTCAGCAACCTTGACGCTGAGGCACACATTCCGCAACTATTAAAATAACCGGTGAAATAGGTGCACAAATATAGCAAATTAAAGCCGATGCGGTTTTCTTACATGTTAAGGTAAACTTTTCAATTGGGCTTAATTTAAAGCCGACAGTCCTGAAATTCGTCATTTAAGGATTGGTATTTCTGCATATATCACAGGGTTGACAAGGTCTAACAGGGGTCACCTTATTCGGAAAAAAAACACCAAATGCACTATTTAAAAACAGCCAGTAATCATGTCGTTTGAAAAACTTTGCTGATTTGCCATAGTAGCAGTCCAAGGTTAAGGGGAAATAAAGTTCGTTTTGGCAATTTTACCAATAATGCGAATCTTAGAATTCGGTACTGATTTCTACGGTTCCGCTGCGGTGATCTCTGTTAGCTCTTCTTATTGGACATAAAGCTAAGTTTTATCTTGATATGCTCAAGCATGCTTAGGTAATGTAAAGGTGTTAAAGTCAATGTGTGCCGTCACCCACGTAATCTTATCGGCCTGAGTAAAAACAGCCTTGGCAGCTTAAACTCATGACGGAGGTAGATCACAGAATCGATGACCAATAAACCCATTCGGATGGTGGGTTCTCAGCGATATAGTAATTGCACAAATATCTTTAGGTGAAAAATCCCTCCACGCATGGTGACTATAGCAACGGTGGTGCAGTAAATCAGCTTGGTGGGTGAGACCGCAGTGGAGAGAAGAAGCACAGACTAGGCAATTCGGTAATTCGTACTTGCTGTGGGGCCAACGACTGAGACAGTGTGCAATTAAACAGCCACTAAATTGCCAAGACCATAAAATACCACTGCGGATAAAATGTGGAACAAATTAGACATCATTGACGAGAAGCATGAGCTAACACTTTGGCTTTAAGATATTAGAAATGTATGATTATCCTTTGTAACATCGAGTTGATCAGAGAACACACCCTGTCTTACGTAATTAAGAAGTGATATGAGATGTGGCTGTTTGAATCAAGACAACATGTCATTGTGGTCACCATCAATGCAAAGCTATAAAAAAATATTGGAGATTCTAGTGTGATGACTATATATGTTTAACTGGATGCTTAGTGATCCAAGCAGTCTGAAAATTCTAGAAGGTGCGTGCTGCACTCTGGCTGGACGATGTTCTTTGGCCCTGCTAATGACGTCAGCCCCTCTGTAGACAAGTGACAAATCCTTAGAGGCACCACACTTACATGGAATCTGTTATTGTCAAAGCCATATCCGAAGCTGTTGCAGTAGGGCATGCAATTTCGTTACATACGACTATTTAATACGATGGTGGTTTATCCCTCGGTATTAGTAAGGGGCCATTATTGTACTTTGACTTAGCTCCCTTGTACCTCGCTGGGTGGGCTGGCCTTTCGGGCCATGCCAATAGCCCAGACACCTTCTCTGCGCTGAATACATACATTCTGCCCGAGTATTGTGTCTTCTTTCGTCTTCAGGGGGATCTCGGGAGGCCACATATAAGGCCTATCACTCTAGGATAAAAAATGAAAATGGTGGAGCTTCCTTCATTTTAACTACATTAAATAATACGTTTAAATAATTTTGACAAACCCATTAACCTTGTTGCAGTTTCGGTTCTGTCGGGAGCTTCCTTTAAAATAATAAAAGCTAAGCACTTTGGTTAGAAATAATGAGATAGCATAGCTAAAAAATAAAGCGCTAGTTATCCTACAACTTACAGCTGCGTGTTTAAATGTTCTACCTTTCTTGGACGCCCTTAATATTCAGCTCCATTCGACTGCCTGGACCACTGACGTCGGGGATGGCTCTCATGCCGGATGACGCTATAAAGTTTGCTAAGGAAAACGGCATCGTTTCATCTTATGGATGGCACGCTAAGTTTGACCAGAAAGAGGTTCGTGCATCTCCACCGAAGCCACCGCGACTTAAAACGATCGCAGAATTTACGCCAATGGCCTTTAGGTAAAAGAGCTACATGGTTTTTTAATGCTCTCGACAATCCTCTGGAGATAACTACGTTTTGATTGGTCCTAATGAGCGTTTCTAAGTCTTTCTGAATCTTTTTAAGGTTCTCGCCTTGACATCCTCCAAGTGTTTATTATTTTGGTGAGACTAACTGGGTCCTCCTTTTTTTAAAATTAACACCTTTGTCGATTGATGCTCCCATTCGTATTTTGCGTTTTCTTCGGTAGCTCCATGTTCTATTAAAATGCTAAACTAAATGCGTATTATTACCTTCCCTTATACATCTTCATTACTACTTAAATGAGGTTGTTAATCTAACTTTCCCTTACGGACTTTTTAAGTGATGCTTACTAGTCTAGGTTTCGGAGTTTATTTGTTTACTCTCTTAATAAGAAAACCATTTCTAGTTGCAAATTTGCTCCATTTCTTATTTGTGACTCGAACAAATTAACTACTGCTTCTCTGTTTGAAATTCTACCACACATCACCATTTTCTACTAACTGACATTACTTCCCATCGTGGCCATTGAGTTCTTGTTTGAATTCATTGCTACTTCGATTCCTTTTCCAGATACCTATATCGAATTTATATTCCGAATAAAAAGGCAAAAACGATGCCTTTTATGGACCCCCTGAATCCCATTCGAATGGAATCCATGTATGGTGTGCCATTAGGTGGCATTGGTTGTGGCACAATAGGGCGAGGCTTCAAGGGAGAGTTTTGTCGTTCAAGCCTTCGTCCAGGAATATACAATCACAAAGTCAATGTCGCTGATCAGGTGAAGTGTCGTTTACATTGAGGGTGGGCTGGTCTTCATTACTCGGTCACATTTTTCCGTTGTTGACAGTTCATCGTTTCGGTGTTTCGAGAAGGCCAAGTTTACCAAAAGGTGCTTTCACCACACACTAGTAGGTCTAGTATTCCTCACGGTTTGTTGTCCTGGGAGTGGGGCTTTCCTGCCGACCGAGGCCACTACATCGGTCTCTATCCTCGCTCTTGGACCATCTATGAACTCCCCGAGGTCTATTTAATACTTATTTGTGAGCAAGTGAGTCGCCACGTGTGATTTTTTGTAATCAAATTCTGTTTACATGTAATTGCGTTTACAAGCAAAGTTTACCTGATCTAAATGTTATTATCTGATAAACGGAAACGTCTCCTTTGTTTATCGCATGTCATGGACTAAGTTTGCGTTGAAAGCGACTAGATATTGAAGGTACGGTAGGAAATTTATCGTTTGTATTCGTGATTATCCGATCTTGAAAGTATGCGCAATGTTTGCTTTTTTGGTTACACGCATATTATGCTTCAGAAGAAAAACTGATTGCAGTCATTCATTGCCTCACTTTTTCGAAACCTGCTGCTGCAAACTTATGTGTTTCATTTAATTCAGTATTCTTAAAATGCAACGGAATTCTGAAAATCCCTTGAAGAAATGCATTTTATCCCCGCATTATTAACTTATTTACCTGTTTTTGCAGTTTGCTAGAGACATTAGAGCCGGAGCCACATTAAATTGTATTCCGTAGTCTTGCACGCTCTTTTTGTTAGCGTGACAATGCGTCTGTCTTTAGATCTCTCCGGTAATTCCGCACAACTACAAGGATAGTTGCCTTCCAGTGGGAGTGTTCCAGTGGACAGTGCTCAACTTTCATCCCACGCAGGAGGCTCGGGTCTCGATCACGCTGACCTGGCGTGGTCCACGGTATAAAAAACATCCGCCGCAGGAGCATGGTACTGCGGGTGTGGAGTGCTGCGACTCCCAGGTAGTGAACGCCTCCGTCAGCACCGTAAATGATGAACTCACCCACACCTTCGAGATCGATGCTCTGCGCGGATGCCTCATGGAGACTTACATCGGCCATCAAATGCCTTGCTGCTTTGGCGTCGCTGCTGCCGCCTCAAATGAGGTTTACTCTTTTCTTTATGTTTGTGCCCGTAAGAATGAATCCATAGCGGTTTGTTATGATTGCCAACCATAAAACAATAGGCTAGATTTGTCGCTTAGTCAAGGCTTTCATTAACTGGTTTAACGTGAAAATTTAGTTGATTTTATTTACAGTTATTGCATACCCATATCAACATTCACTTCCTTGCCTCTGGAAGTGGTTCAAGAATAATTTGCTTCCACTCCACTAAGTAAATAATCTTTCATATTGAAAGGTCGTGTCTGACTTCACCGAGAAATCCCATAAATACTTTAGCTGTATTAAACATTAATGCGTTCAGCTGCACTGCTGTCTCTTCCCTTTGCCCTCCTATTTGTTGCGACATTAAAGCCTCGAAAGTGAGCTGACATTTTCATCTGTGTAGGTGAAGGTTACCTGCTGCCCTGGATTTCAATGCAAGGCCCCGTGCAGAGTTTCTTCGCGCGGACGTTTGCGCCGTTCCGATTCAATAGATGCGAATCTGATCCCCTCACCTCCCGTCTCCTCTTCCTCTGAGTCACAGCAGGCGTATTCACAGAGCCTTCCGAGAGCTCATACTCAGGCTCCTTTGGCTGCGCGCTTCTGGAAGGACCTCAAAGAAACAGGTTTGCTCAACGACGATAATATCGGTAAAACTCTTTGTATCACTTGCACAATATATTTGTTTCCTTGACGTCTGAATCGAATTCACTTTCCATTCCCTTCTGGTTCAGTAATGGGGGGTAGCTTTTGAGAATCATTTAGCTTCTCTTAAGTGCTATTTGCCACACTAGGAGGTAGTGAGCTTGACAGGCCTTAGTGCATCATTTATGAGTCACATAATTACCTCTGGCAGATATAATTGATGAATCGTTAAAAGTGTGCAATCACCATAATGCACATTATTACTTGTTTTCCATGCAACATGGATGTATGACTGCTCTAATCTATGACATGGCGTGACAATTGATGCGTCAGTTGACAAACTTCTCAATGTATTACGATGAGGGTGCAAGCTCTGCCTTATGTTTATTGTGCATGGGTGCGGGAGTTTGATCTTTGTCAGGTACAATCAATATTGCGATATTCTACCAGTCTTGAACGCTAGTGAATCTACTGATATGCCTTTTTGGCCCGCACTGCCGGGCTTACATTGCATGCGTTGTCTTACTACTGGCTGTTATACAACTAATTTTGAGCTTTGTCGTGAAGAAGAATAGCTTTTCTCTTTCTGGCGTGGATCATAGGCTTTGAAAAGTCGTAATTACTCGGAGTGATGGTGTACTCCTGTGATCACACGTGATTTTATTGTGGCCTGAGTGTGGGCGGACTTAACATTATAGTGCAAGTGTGAATAGTTTGCTGCGAGGCCTTACCGTTATCAGTCTCTTCAGGCAATTGGTATATCCATGCTTTCATGCGCGTGTAACCCCTTTCCTTTGCAGAAGATAGGAAGATAGCTGGTTAAGGCAATGCAGTTTTACTTTACAGAAAGCATGCATCTCTTATGTCCTATATATTATTCACTAGAGTATATGAAAGCTTAAAACTAGATTTGCTATTACTACACTATTATCTGTCTCTTAACACCTAAAACGATACTGGTAGTCTGTATTATTCTCTAAGCATTGGATACTAGTCCACGAACTAGGTAGGTCTGGTACAATTACCTCTAACCCTCTTGCTAATTTAGGAGATTCTCCTTCGTTCAGAAAGGCTTTAAAAAATTTCAGGTTTGGGAGCCTGTTTCGAACGAGATTTACCTGTTTTTTTCTATGAAGAATTTCACTGAGATGTTTAAATAGATTTTAGAGCACTTTATTCCCTAAAAGTGCGAATGAGTTAAAACCCTTGCAAATCTTATGACCTGACTCCGCGTGTCTGATGATTCCAATTGACTTACACTTCAATTTTGTTGCATCATGGTTCAATCACAGATATCCGCTTTTATTTTGCCAAGTATGTGCAACTGATTGTCTTTAGCCATGACGCGCCTTGACTTCTAAATTTCTGAAAAGTATACAACAGGCTACATTTCTCTAGTGCATTGTTTGGCAATTTATTTTAAGGCTGAAATAAGCTATTGTGTGTTCGGCTCACTTTATTGTTGAAATTTGCGGTGAAAGTATGCTTTCAAACGGTTATTCCAACCTGATCCTGTGCTGTCGTCAGAAATCACACCAGTTGCTGTTCTTCTATCTTCGGGAAAATATTTCCTATTATTCCACTCTGTATTTAACTTTTGTGAGTTTTCTTAGTTTTACTGGCTACCTCACTGCGAGCTATTTATCTGCTGGAACTAACATCCCTATAAGTTAATCCGTTTATACTAAGTAGTCTGACATTCCAATTGAGTTTCATCTCAAATCAAATTTTTAGGGAATGGACTTATAAACATTGCTAATCCATAACCGTTTTTAGTACGTTTCATCTTTACTAATGTCCAATATTTTTGAAGGCCTGTAAAGAGTGACTTTTGCCAATAAATCTTTCTCAACGCTTAAGTGGATTTAAATAAGTTTTTGAGGGATTAATCGATTGAATAATAATTGATTAACTTCATTTCTTACGGAGTGCCTAAGTAAGTGTAATCTTAATTTGGTATTTAGAATTTCCAACACTAATTAGGCATATTTAAATCTTTGCAGCTGCTTTTTCAGACTTACCAATTATTCAGCGCTTTGTCCACTCTTCTGGAAGAGCTCTCTTGGGTATCAGATTTTATCATGAATCAAAGACCGTATACTTAAGGCACTCTTGAAACCCTTCATGATTCCTGATACCCCCTCCTTGACGCAGGTTATAGACGCGAGGGGAACAAGAAGCGCTCCCCCAATTTAGTGATGGCCGTATGCGCTACGTGCATTGTGCCGCCACCTCTCACCACCCTCCCTACTCCCACTCCTCGCCGATCGGGGATTGTGGGAGCGGGCTCAAGCACCCTCCACTTCTTCGTCACCTGGCACATCCCTCGGGTCCATTTCCGCTCGGCTATCGTAGCTTATCGACGGTGAGTTTCATCAATTCGCGCTCGGACCTGCCATCTTTACGCCAAACTTCGAAAAAACAATTAATGAACTGTTTTATCGATTGATTCGCTAAATGTTCCATTGTCTTTGCCCTATTCATAATCTGTATTTTTCAGTAGAAATCTAGTACATTCACCTGAAGTCTAATTGAGTTATAACGGTAAAGATTAATCACCATATCTATCTTTCTTATGGCTGCCTTTAAACTCTCCAAAGATGGTGCCTCATATAGTTTTTTTGATCTAAGGCCAGATTGTGACCATATCTTCCAGTTCGCCCTGGCAATCCGTTTTGACACTAAAATGTTTGTGATTCTTTTAGCAGAGGCATGACTGGTTTAGTTCCAAGTCTAGCATCCGACAGCTGAATGCGACTAGTCAGTCAAAATGGGTCTATTTTTCTTCATGCATCTCAGGATTAGCATATTTTACCTGTAGCATAACTTGCAATGCTTCGTGTCATGTGAGTGCACGGAGGAATGCTCGGTGTTTTTCATTTGAATCGTTGAAGGGGATTTTGTTTTAGTCTCTTCTATTATATCCATTTGAAAGTATTGTGCTCATTTGGTAGTCGCTTGTTGAGGGCTTGCGAGTTATTTTGGCTTTTATATTTCTTTTGTTAATATGACAAATATGATTTGCATTTCGTAACTGAAATGATTGAATTCCTTTCACTGTTCAGCAATTATGAAGCAAATTCTCTGTAGAACCACGGGTGGTATAGCGTCGTTTTGTCAGTATTTCACCATAGGTCACCTGGAATCACTTGGTCGTATGGTTTTAAAGTGTATTCGTTATATGTTGAATAAACCAGCAACTGCATTGAGTGATTTCAAGCACCAGCAGCGTAGAAACGACGACAGCAAGTAATGGCAGGCGTGAAATCACTCTGGCTCTGATGGGCACTTAAACTGTTGTAGCTTTTTTCTTTCTCTTTCCTACGTCATGTAATACGACGTCTACATTTCATTAATGATGCACATTATTCTCCACTTTGTCATTATAAAGGATCATGATAAGGGTAATATTAGTCATCAAATTAAGTCTCCCACTTTCGTCTTTTTGAACCTTTTTAATCCACTTTCGATGTTTTTTTTGCAGATACGTTCATCACTATTAAGGTTTTATTTGTATTAATAAGACTTGATTTCTGGAATTTCACCTCGGTTCAAGGAATTTTTTTCATACCCCAAGCATTTTTTACATCACACTCACTGCATCCGACCACTGGCGCGTTTCTCTGCATATCAAAATTCACCCATACATTGCACCACCCCTGGGACTGGTGCCAGTTCTTTTTATCGGAAAAAGGGTCCTAGCATTTGTCAGTTAGGTACTTCGGTAGAGCATGTGATGCCATTCCGAAGCACCGATTTGCTTAGAACATCAGGTTTAAAATATTCAAAAACTCTGTTTTCAGTTGTGTTTAATGCATTTGGAAAATGTTCTATAAGCTGCATTTTCATGCTAGTTTTTCAATCCATTTTTTTTCCTTTTTGAAATATTTTCTAATCGGAAGGCGAGATTAAAGTTGTTTCGGTGCAACTTTTGAAGCTAAGTGAGGTTTATCAGAATTCCTACTCGTAGCGAAATGGGCAGAACAAATCAGTAGTGATTTTAGCATGTTCTTCAGTTTAACATGTTAATTGTTAAATTTAGTAGTTACCCACACGCTCTCCTCATCTAACTTTGGTAACTTGCTCCGGTTTCTGTGTCACTGCCACCACGAAATGCTGCTAAAGATTACGCGCCTACTAGATGATCGCCACTTTGGGGGAAGGCATGTGGCATTATGTGAGGGGTGTCGTTCAGAGCTTCCTGATCATTGCGAGGAATAACACAAATTGTTGGGTCATCAACGCGTATCGTAAGCACTTTTTCAATGTCTATAAACATTACCTCGGTAAGTCATTTCTTAGTGTTATCATAGCGGAAAAAGGAGGGCTTGCCGATGTTGACGCTTGTCCATCTACTGCAGAAGATACACTCGGTGGTTTTCGGAGGACATTGTCAAGGGAACGAAGGAGTTGCTTGCTTATGCTGCGGAGAATTGGCGCAACTGGAGGAAGGCGATCATCGAGTGGCAGTCACCAATCCTCTCCAACCCGTGAGTTCCCCTTCCCCTCCCCTCTCTTCTGCCTTTTAGCTACCTCTTGACCCCTTGAATATTTTAATTCCACCTACCATTAGCTCCTCTTGTCGCGTTTTCGGACTGTTTACATGCGTAAGAAAATATGCTCGTGGTGACCCCAAAAGCGCCAAATTTACACGATGCATCTTCACGCTCTAATTTTAACCGGTTTTGCGTTCAGCTAACTTGACTCCTAAAACACTTCCATAGAAACACGATTGAAACTTCAGTAAGTGTGCCTCGTTTTGTGAAGTGTTGAAAGTCGTGCAAAGTTTACCTAACAAATTGTTCAGTGCATAATTATTCAAAAGTCAGGTGTTTGAGAAATTTATGGCTCTAAGTAGCAACATGTTCACTGTTTCATTAAACCATAGTTCCAAAACTTTACTTTCTTTTTAGATAGATTTATGTCAAGAAAACCAGTGGTTCTGTTTTTCTGCATTAAATGTTGACACTTTTGCTGGGATTTGATGAAGTAATAAGCTTTTCTGAATGCTTAATGTTTTGGTAGCTCGTTAAAATTCAAGGTAATATTTTTGACGAGGTCTATTGTTTCCAGCCCTATTATTGCAGCATAAAGCTCTGGTTTAAGCGTTCTTGGTTCAAGCTTTGTTTATGTCCTTCTAGTTTAGCATTGAACATAAACATATCATACTTTCTTTCTTCTGACGACATCAATTGATTAAACTGTTCAAACATCTGGCTGCATTTGCGTCTGCTGCTCTATCCTTAAGGCACACCCAACTTCCGCGCTTTCGATCCCAACTACTACCTTGAAATTGAGTGCTTTGGATAACTGGAAAACATGGGGTCTTCGGACTGGTCTTGTCGAAACTAGGCAAGGTTGCCCTACTATGCAACCGAATGATGCATCAGTATTGAAAACAGTCTTGATAATAGATTGAAGTTTTCTCAGTCATGACACTTCATGCATCAGCAGACGTTGAGAATCTTTTTAGCTCTGTGGCTAAGATTCCGATAAATTACATGATTGAAGAGGGTGGAGGTGCCTCTTAATGCAAGGAACCTACCGTTCCTTTGGTCTGATCATGCGCTCTGGTGCTATTCTTCGGGTGAGAAGCTATCCAAAGGTCACTAGGAGCGGAGAAACGTCATAGGGGGCCAATGTGACGCTTGTATATTAGCGAAGTAGGATTCAGTGTTGATTGCATTCTAATTTAGTTCTAAGTGTATTCCATGTATTCCATTTAAATGAAATTGACTGCCATGTTGCGATTGGATCATTCATTGACAATCAGCGGTGCTTTCTTTAGGATTTCGTGCTTCCGTTTCCTATTGCTCAACCACTTTGTGCACGTGGTTAATTTCTGTTTCGTGTGCGAGGAACAAGGCGCCTAAAAGACCTCAATGCTAATGTTCTATCATGGGAGACCCGAAGCACGTATGTCTAACGGTAACTCATGGTGAGGCAGACCATCTTGCCTCAACCAATAGGTGCAAATCGCTCAATTGACTCAGTGTTTATTAGCTGCTCCTTAACGTGAAATTTGAATAACCGTTACCGCACTCAAGAGCAATCATTGGGATGTCACTAACTAAGCTTAGATAATCACGAAGACTTTCGGTAGGTGAAAGCGTCTACTTTTTTTGAAAAATAAAAAATAGAATTGCTCTCCTCATGGTCAATTGGTCAAACTTGCAGCAAGGAGTGCTATTGGGGCACTTTTGGCTTCCACTTCTTGTGTTCCGCACTATGAGCTCACTGACTCACT